ACATTTTAGATAAATCGCTGCGGAGCGCGAGCCAATTATCTAGTTATCCATTAACGACCAGTCCATAATACGGCTAACATAGTAACCTGTAATATCATATAATCAAAGTCTGACCACCACTTTGGTCACTCTCGTCACTTTGGTCAAGTTACTCCACTTCCCTCCATCCAAAACAATTTTCCCCTCTTCTGCTATCTCTCTGAACACTGAAGAAAGTCAAGCCAGCAATGGCGGTGGCGTTGGGGAAGAGGGTTCTGGATTCTGGGTGGATAGCGGCTAGATCGACGGAGGTCAAGCTCACCGGGATTCAGCTCACTACCACTAACCCTCCTTCCGTCGGACCCAAGTCGCCATGGATGGAAGCTGTTGTCCCCGGAAGGTATTTTTTTCTTTCCAGAAAACAGAAAAATCTGTTCGTTTTCTGGCATTTTCTTTGTTCTGCAGCTGCATTCCTGAGTAAATTCTGATCCTTTAAAGCTGTCTGCTTGTTGGGTTGGTGAGTATTGTCTCAATGCGATTTTGTGCATAGATGATGGAATGCTATGCTCTTTGTACCAACTTTGGACTTAAGATGTACATACAGCTTACTGCTTTAGTTTTATGATTAGGAACATTGTTGAACTTCTAGCTATCAAATGCTAGTTATTGTTTTTTCGTCTGTGTGTGAGTAATCAATAACTTTGGCTAATTTGCGGAAACTTTCTTTTTCTCTTTGGTAGTGTTTTGGCAACCCTGGTAAAGAACAAAGTAGTTCCTGATCCATTTTACGGACTGCAGAATGAAGCGATCATCGATATTGCTGATTCCGGGAGGGATTACTACACATTCTGGTTCTTCACAACTTTCGACTGTAAGCTGGTATGATTGTGAACTGCAGATTCTTTTTATGTTCTGCTTTTTCATTGTGTCAAATTGTTTGCTTGAACCTGTATATTGACTGTTTTCGTTTGGAAATGTTGTAGTCAGCAGACCAATTCTTGGATCTGAACTTCCGTGGAGTGAATTACTCGGCCGAAGTGTATCTAAACGGACATAAAAAGTTATTGCCTAAGGGGATGTTTAGAAGACATTCTCTTGATGTTACTAGCATTCTAAATAGTGAGGGAAGCAACTTGCTAGCTGTTCTAGTTCATCCACCAGATCATCCTGGCAAAATCCCTCCAGAAGGCGGCCAGGGTGGTGATCATGAGGTGTGTGAAATGATTCAGCAAATGGCTTCAGTTTTGGGGCAGTGAAATCATATGAAGATTTCGATGTTAAGTATTACTAACGAGGATTCTGCCGTATCTTGCAGATTGGGAAAGATGTCACGACACAGTATGTCGAGGGATGGGATTGGATTTGTCCCATAAGGTGACTAATGTTGTTTTTCTTTTATTGAACATTCAGATATCTAATCCTATTGCTTATTGTTTGCATGCTTAAATGAAGAATTTCTTCATGTGATTTCAGGGACAGGAATACTGGCATTTGGGATGAGGTGTCCATATCAGTTACTGGGGTGAGCTTCTGTTTATTGGTGCTGAATTTCTGCTGAAGGCATGCTTATGTGTTGTTTTTCCTAATACTGCATCTCAATTTTATCCCTACAGCCAGTGAAAATAATCGATCCACACTTGGTCTCGACTTTCTACAATGACTATACAAGGGTATATCTGGAAGCTGCAGTGGAGTTGGAGAATCGAAGTTCTTCAGTGGCTGGGTGTACCATCAACATTCAAGTGACAACGGAACTAGAGGGAGATGTTTGCTTAGTGGAGCATCTGCATACACAGTACTTGGCCATAGTGGCTGGTAAACGTGTTCATTACACATTTCCTCAGGTAATAATATTCTTTTTCGTGAATGTTCATGTGAATACTTGAACAATTCAGTTGACTAATGGAGCGTGAGTTGAATGAACAGTTATTCTTCTACAAGCCAAACTTATGGTGGCCAAATGGCATGGGGAAGCAGGCTTTGTATAATGTCACCATTACTGCCAATGTCGAGGGACATGGAGAATCCGACACTTGGAACCAACTATTTGGATTCCGTAAAATCGAGAGCTCCATTGACACAAAGACTGGTGGAAGGTAGTTGTGATTGGTTCACCTTAGGCCTTGTCTTGCTGCATACAAATATAACCTGCATGGTCTCTTAAGCTCTTGTTCTCAAGCAGGTTATTCAAGGTCAATGGCCAACCAATTTTCATCCGAGGGGGTAACTGGATAGTGTCTGATGGGTTGCTACGGCTTTCCAGAAAACGGTATGAGACAGATATAAAGTTCCATGCGGACATGAATTTCAACATGATCCGCTGTTGGGGTGGTGGGTTAGCCGAGAGACCAGATTTCTATCATTACTGTGACATTTATGGCATTCTAGTAAGTTCTCTTTATTTCCCCCTCTTGTGCTTGGGACATGACACTGGGAGATTTCTCTTTTCATTAATTTCATTGAGTTAGTACAATAATCTGGAACATTTGGATGGAAAACACCCAATAGACATTGAATAAATGACTCGTATGTTTGTTTTTTTAAACTAAAGTGACAAGTTTGTCAAAGCTTTTAGTTCATTAACCCATTTGTTAGTGACCTCCTATGCAATTTATTCAATCGAAATTTCTGCCTTGAACTTCCCATCCCCAGAATTGAACAGTGCTAAGCTTGCTGCAGAAGTTCAAAGCATTTGCCTTGAGAACACAACTTATGTCTCTAATCTGTTTTCAGGTGTGGCAAGAGTTTTGGATCACTGGAGATGTTGACGGAAGAGGAGTCCCTGTTTCAAATCCAAATGGTCCATTGGATCATGACCTCTTCTTGTTATGTGCCCGTGACACTGTGAAGCTCCTACGGAACCATCCAAGTCTCGCTCTTTGGGTAGGTGGAAATGAACAAGTGCCACCACCTGACATCAACACTGCCTTAAAACAAGACCTGCAACTAATGCCTCATTTCCAAACCGTCATAGAAGGAGGAGGTAAAAAGCTCCCAGTGTCAACAGCTCTCAGTGACTATCTCGATGGTACACGAATCTACATCCAAGGATCTCTATGGGATGGCTTCGCTGATGGCCAAGGGAACTTCACCGACGGGCCTTACGAGATTCAGTACCCTGAGAGCTTCTTTAAGGACGACTTCTACAAGTATGGCTTCAACCCCGAGGTTGGTTCTGTTGGAATGCCAGTTGCTGCCACTATCAGAGCTACAATGCCCATAGAAGGATGGCAAATCCCATTCTTTAACAAGGTTGCTGAAGGTTATGTGGAAGAGGTTCCTAACCTAATATGGACATACCACAAATACATTCCGTATTCCAAACCCAGCAAGGTTCATGATCAAATACTGTTATACGGCCTCCCAACAGACCTTGATGATTTCTGCCTGAAGGTATCTTTGCAATTACCTTACTACCATTTTAAGTTTATTTGCTGTTATAATACTGTGGTAGCTGATACCGACTTCTCTTTTATGCTGTGAGCATCTCAGGCACAACTTGTAAACTATATCCAATACAGAGCTCTGCTGGAGGGCTATAGTTCTCATATGTGGAGCAAGTACACTGGTGTCCTTATTTGGAAGAACCAGAACCCATGGACAGGGCTTCGGGGCCAGTTTTATGATCATCTTCTCGACCAAACAGCAGGTTTTTATGGCTGTCGTTCTGCTGCAGAACCACTACACATCCAGCTAAATCTGGCTACCTATTTCATAGAGGCAAGAAATAGATTAAAAAAAAAAAATTTAACACAATATTTACCATTTGATTCTTCTGCTGAAATTTATAAGCTTGTCATTCTCCTTCCTCGTAAACAGGTTGTCAATACCCTACCAAATGATCTGTCAGATGTGGCTATAGAAGCATCCGTATGGGATCTGGAAGGAACATCCCCATATTACAAAGTCTACGAGGACCTATCAATTCCTTCGAAAAAGACTACACGCATTGCTGAAATGACGTACCCCAAGTCCACGAATCCGAAACCAGCATACTTCCTCCTACTGAAACTCTACAACAAGTCGGATTACAGCATCTTATCCAGGAACTTCTACTGGCTGCATCTGCCTGGTGGCGATTACAAATCGCTGGAACCATTCAGGAAGAAGAAGATCCCTCTCGAGCTCACGACGCAGACCTTCATCACCGGAACAACTTATGAAATGGAAGTCCTTGTCCAGAACAGGTCCAAGAAACCAGACCCCTCCAGACATTCAACCGACCAGAACAACTTCGTCACCAAAATCCAACACATGGCTGCTGGTGATGATGACTACGATTCGACCTCAGAGCTGCAGCCTGCAATAACCAATCCACAAGAAAATGATGATGATTGGACGCGTAAAGGTGGCTTCTTTAGAAGTATGTCCAGGATCTTTTCCAGCGAAACTGATGGGAACTCCATGAGGGTCTGTGAAGTGAATGGCAGTGATGTTGGAGTTGCGTTTTTCCTTCAGTTTTCTGTTCATGCTGCAAAGGATAAGTACCAAGAGGGTGAAGACACCCGAATCCTGCCTGTTCATTATTCCGATAACTACTTCTCGCTGGTTCCGGGAGAGCAAATGAGGATCAAACTGTTGTTCGAGGTTCCCCCGGGGGTTACTCCAAGGGTTATTCTTCATGGCTGGAATATCCCTGGTGGCCATGCAGTTCATCACTGAGCTAGGTGGGGAAAGTTTAGGTGGGTTTTGAAATAAAAATGTACCATGATTTGTTCCTGAATCCTGAATAAGAAGTATCAGTTTGATTGGAATTTGTGTAGTTGTATAGTTCAATCTGTAACTGTAATCATTAATTTCTTGTATGAGCAGTCCATTCTTGTTAGTTTTTAAGTTCTAATGAAAAATCTGCATTATTCTGAATATCTCAAACCAAACACGACGACAAACCCAAATGTCGTTGCTAAAATTCTCGTGCGCGTTGCGGAGTAAGAGCTATAAGGTAGAAACTAGAAACACTTCATTTGACTTCCCCTAACAACATAAAACCACGTCACAAACTGAGTCCACAGGGTTCATGGATGAAACCCAAATGGGTTCCTTCTTCACTGACCTCTCTTCTCGCTTCGTACAAGGCCCGATTTCATCAAGCCGCGTCTTCTTCCTCGGAAGCTTCCACTTTCGTCCTCAACCATGTAGATGTAAGCCTCCTCCTGTCCCTTTGCGGGAGAGAAGGCAACCTTCATCTGGGTTCTTCTCTTCACGCTTCCATCATGAAGACCCACGATTTCACCGCCCACCACCAGCAAGATTGTTACAGCTCGCAAAATTCCGTCGTCATCTGTAACTCCCTCCTTTCGTTGTATTCTAAGTGTGGGGTTTTGAATGATGCGGTTAAGGTGTTCGATGAAATGCCGCGCAGAGATACCATCTCGTGGAACACGTTGATCTCTGGGTTCTTAAGCATTGGTGAGTTTGAAGTGGGGTTGGGATGGTTTAAACAGATGCAAAGGTTGGATCTTTACAGTTTTGATCAAGCAACGTTGACCACCGTTTTGTCTGCTTTTGAGAAGCCAGAGTTCGGATATGCCAATAGGATGATACATGGTCTGGTGTTCTTGAGCGGGTTTGATGGAGACACTAGCGTTGGCAACGCTTTGATAACTTCTTACTTCAAATGTGGATCTTCGTGTTCAGGGAAACAGGTTTTTGACGAAATGCTTGAAAGGAATGTCATTAGTTGGACTGCTGCAATTTCAGGACTATCCCAGAACGAATTGTACGATGATAGTTTGAGACTGACAGTGGAAATGCTTCGGGGCTCGGCCAAACCAAACTTCCTAACATATTTGAGTGCGTTGATGGCTTGTTCTGGCTTGAAAGCTTTCAAGGAAGGGGTTCAAATTCATGCACATGTATGGAAATTGGGTATTCAATCGGAACTCTGCATCGAGAGTGCCTTAATGGACATGTACTCCAAATGTGGAAGCGTTGAAGATTCCTGGCGCATTTTTGACTCTGCCAAGCAACTTGACGAGGTCTCCATGACCGTAATACTCGCTGGTTTTGCTCAGAATGGGTTTGAGCAAGAAGCTTTACAGTTTTTCACAAGAATGGTCAGATCAGGAGTTGAGATCGACGCAAATATGGTCTCAGCTGCTCTCGGTGCATTTGATGCCAATGCTTCTTTGAGTCTTGGTCAGCAAATTCACTCGATGATAATCAAAAGAAAGTTCGACTCGAATGCATTTGTCTGCAATGGCCTCATCAACATGTACTCCAAGTGTGGAGACCTCTACGAGTCAATCAAGATCTTCAACCACATGCCATTGAAGAACTCTGTCTCGTGGAACTCCATGATAGCTGCTTCAACGCGCCATGGTGATTTCTCCAGGGCACTGCAGTTCTACCAGGAGATGAAACTAGAAGAAGGTGTCGACCCAACAGACGTCACATTTCTCTCCTTGCTCCATGCCTGCAGCCACGGGGGCTTCCTGGACGAAGGGATGAACTTGCTCGAATCCATGAATCAATCGCACAGCATCATTCCAAGAACGGAGCACTACGCTTGTGTTGTCGACATGCTAGGCAGGGCAGGGCTCCTGAACGAAGCCAAGGTGTTTATCGACGGACTGCCCCTCGAGCCTGATGTGCTCATATGGCAGGCTTTACTTGGCGCTTGTGGAATCCACGGAGACGCAGAGATGGGGAAGTTTGCTGCTGAGAAGCTGTTCTTGTGTGCACCTAATGAGCCTGGACCATATGTTCTGCTGGCTAACATTTATTCCTCTAACAGGAGATGGAAAGAGAGAGCGAAGACAATCCGTAGGATGAAGGAAATGGGAGTGGGGAAAGAGACTGGGATGAGTTGGATTGAGATTGAGAAGAAAGTTCATAGCTTTGTTGTTGAGGATAGAATGCATCCTGAAGGAGAGGCTATATATGGACTAATCATGGAGTTGCTAGGGAATATGGCTGATCATGGTTATGTGCCTGATAAGAGGTTTCTTCTTCATTATGCGGATCAGAATGGGAGACAATAGAGAAAGTTTTGATTTGATTGAACTGTCTTTAGAAGAAATAAAACCAAACACAGAAACCCACTGTCTCAGTTCGGGAGAAGGAAAACCCCAAAAAACAGTCAGTCGCATATAATAAGGAATTGCTGCCTCCTTCCGTCCATCCCTTTGTTGGTCCACCGCCATGGCGACCCGTCGACAAAGCTCAACTCTTTCAGAGTTGAAAAACCCTCCTCCATCTCCCATCACCAAACTCAGGGCCGACGATCTGCTCGTAAAAATTCTGATTCGACTCCCGACTGCTAGAACAGCCTGCCGCTGCAAAGCCGTCTGCAAGCTGTGGAACTCCCTAATCTTCTCTCCATACATACTTCAATCGCCGCTTCATCTCTCACTACAAGACCATTAAGGACGGCCCACCTCATCTTCTTCGCTCCGACGACCTACCGGAGACATCGACCATCCTCAGCTTTCTCCCCGTGGCGGAACAAGGTCGAGACCGTTTTGCAGTCCTTGATTCCTTCAAGGAGTTGCTTCTGTGCAGGTTTGTGGATCGAATTTACGTCGACAACGAACTTGATAGATCGTACCTGGTCTGCATCCCATTACCAAGCAATGGATCGCCCTTCCTTTAGCGCCTGAGAAGGAGTTTGCTCATGGCCGTGCCTCTATCAAACATGTGCACGCGAGGTTAGTTTGTCAACCCCGTCATAACTACAATCTTCAGCTGGGAGATGGCCGAGTAGTTGTTCATTCCGAGTATCGGCTCCGGGTGGTGTGTGTATACGCAACTTTCGAGTCGGTTGCAACTTTAAAACTGGACGTGTTTTGTTCGGAGTCCGAGAATGGACCAAAGATGCTCTTGTTCTTGCTGGTCGATTAAGAAAGGTTCAGCCTGGTTCACTTTCGTGCAATGGTGAGGAGTTATTGTGGTGGTTTCAATATACCGGGGTTCCTGGCTTTTCAATGGTTGCCTTCAATCCTTTCCGCCTTGAAATACCTCCCACTGTTATTGACACTTCTTCAATCTCCCAACCCGCGTTTTCGAACTTCTGACTGTTGATTGCTTGTGTCTCACAAGATGCTCTGCACATTATCGTAGTTGAAGCTAAAACGACACCTATTGTTTATGCGAGGAATGGCTACAATGTTTGGAGGCTGGAAAAAGATGGCAGGTCTTGGAGGAAACTATATTGAATGTGGTTGAGTGAGGCGTCATGGCGCGATTATGACCTCGAGTATAGTGAAGTGCTTAATCTGCATCCAGAAAAGCCGGAAATCGTCTTCCTGCAATCTTTCGGTCGTCGAAAGCATGGTTTTGCAATCTTGTCTTGCAACTTGCTGACGGGTGAGCTAGAGTACTTTGGTCCAGTGGAACAACGTCTGGTTCCTTTCATGGTTTTTCAGCCTGGCCTCTCTAGCTGCCCTATTTCGATTCCAATGTATAAGGAATTGCGAGCTTTGTATGATGGAAGCTATAGTTGTCTGGTTCAGACCGTGGAAGCAACTCCTTCTATGATCGGTATCACTTCTGCTTCTGAGAATTTATCCTTGGTTTCTCGAATCTGAGATGCACAGATGTGTTGCATTTGTATTCTCTGTCTTTTTGTGGTCTCGCTTCTAATCTGATCTCCCATCTCATTTGTCTTGTGGTTAGTCTGATCGATACTGAAGCAATAGAAGAACGATAGGCAGTAGGCACTGTAGTACTGGTCTATGTTTACCGATGGAAAAGTTTTGTTATCACAAGAATTGACAAAATGCCTAATACTAACTTATTTACGCCATTCCGCGTGTTTATTTACGCAATATTATGCTAATTTATGTAAGAGTGACAATTATTTATGTAAATGAAAATTCAGATTTTTTTTCCTAATAATTTGTGTTGGCTATATTTTATGGAATTAAATTTGGATTCTCAATTAATATGTAAAAATGCGTTGCATTTATTATAATTTATACAATAATATTCATTTGATATATTTCAAAGTTTAATATTTAACTTTACAATGGTGTGAATAAATATGAGATTGTAGGACTAAACAATGTTGGTCGCTCCGACCAAAAAAAAAGTATTGGTTGCATACTTGCATGAATAATCAACGCTCTTATGTGAATAACACCAATATACAATGAATAAATTCAAATTTACGTAAATAAATAATGTGTTTTGTTTTGTCTTTAGAGGTGACAAAAGACTTTCTTTAAAAATACAGGGTACGACGGGTAAGCTTCCGCACTAGGGATGACAACAAAACCAGACCCATGGGTACCCTACCCGGTCAACGCGGGTAAAACCCGTGTTGACGATTTTTTGGCCGGGTTTGGGTTTAAACCCGTTCACTATTTATCGGTTGGGTTTGAGTAAACCCTCCTCATGGGTACCCGTCCACACCCATATAATTAATTTTTTTGGTATATTAATATTCTAAACAACTAATCTTCTTTATGTTTGTGGAATGTGGAGACATGTCAAATTTTTTCTTTTTAATTGTGTAGAATGAAGTTGATATTATCGAGTGGAGAGTGAAGAAGCTTAATTGACAAGGAGGAAGAAGCTTTCAATTAATCATGTTGTTTATGGATTATTTGTGATTTGCTTCAATTTTCTAGATTGGTGTTGAACAATTTGTATGGTTAATTTGTGATTTACTTGAATTTTCTAGAATGGTGTTTTATATATGGATAATTTGTATCGAGAGATTGATATTTGACTTTTATTTTGATAGAAACTTTTTATTGTAAATTTTTTATGACAAAAATTCATGGTACCCATGAACCCGCGGATACCCAGCAGGTGGGGTTTGTATTTTTAAAACCCAGTGGGTTTTACTCCGAGTTTTTTCACGGATAAACCCATGAGTTTGGGTTTAGTTTTGACAAAACCCAACACAACCCGACCAATTGTAATCCCTATTCCGCACGGCGCACGGCCCAGTCAAAACGCACCGGTTTAACTACAAACGTAAACCATTCGATTCCATTCATTCACAACTCACAAATTCTGCTCCACGACAACAAAAGTTGGAGAAATCCGTAACGAACCACCGCCACTAGCTTCCGCCTCCTTCCGACGGCCGGAAGAAAAGGCGAAAAAATGGGGACTTACGCTTTTTGCCGTTCTTCTCTCACTCCAATTCCTCCACTTGAAAACAACGTTTTCTCCCGCCCGCACGCCCGAAACCCCACCCGCTTCCCTTCGATTCGGGCTCGGGGCTCCAACTCCGGAACAGGGGACGCCGTCGCCGCCGATGCCGATTCATCTCCCCACGCCGTCCTCGGCGTCGAACCGGGATGCTCCGCCGCGGAGCTCAAGTCCGCCTTCCGAGAAAAAGTGAAGCAGTTCCATCCCGATGTAATCGGCGGCGGGGGGAAGGGCTCCGATATCATGATTCGCCGCGTAATTGAAGCGTATCAGAGCTTATCCTCCTTAACCCGGTCAGAGATCATCGAGAGGTGAACTTAAATAAGCCAATTTGATCAGCTGTGAACTTCCCTCATTTGTTTTTCTCCCCACGTCGACTGAAATCGGTTTCGGATTTTTGGTCTGCAGAGAATGTTTGGATCCATTCGACGACCCAGAGTGTGAAGCGTTTGATATATTTGTGAATGAATCTGCCTGTTTTGGTAAAGGTAAACATACCAAATCCACATGGTCATCAACATTCATCTTGATTTTTTCGGTTCGACCGGATCAATCATACAATTCGGTTTTTTTGTATTTGACCCGAGAATCTGTTGAATTTCACTTTGCCAAATTGCAGGGTGTCCATATTCATGTGTAGAAAGAGCGCCACACGCCTTCACGTTTTCTTCAGTGGGCACCGCTAGAGCAACATCTCAAGGTAACAACATATTATTTCTGAGTTCTCGTTGGTGTTCCTGCCATATCTTCTTAACATTTGAAGCTTTACCAGGTCATGGTGAAGATTACCAAGTTCAGATGGCGGCGGGCCAGTGTCCTAGAAGCTGCATTCATTACGTGACGCCATCGCAGAGAATCATCCTAGAAGAGTTACTGGACAGGTAGGTGAACGTAAAAGTTGGGTACCGAATCATTGTTGGTTGAGTCAGTACAAGGTTTCATGTTAAAACAGATCAGATGAACTCCGTAATGCAAGTTTGGATTAGGTCACAACATGTCATAGGTAAATGGTTGCAGAAATGAGTTGTATTGGTTGGGTCATCATCTGCCTCCGAGTAGATCACCACGCTTAGTATCTCGGACTTGCTGCACTTAACAATGTGGTGTGCTGGACTTGTGCAGCATTCTCGACGTACCATACGACTGCTCAGCAGAATCTGAACTGCTGTATTCACTCATCGTGAAAGCGAGATTTGAGAACAATCGGTTCCAGAAGCCAAAGAACAAGCAGCCAAAGACATCAACAAAGCATGTAGATTGGTATTAAAGTTTCAAGCTTGTACAAGCAGCATCATGGCAAAACTCAATGACTATAAGGTAAGATAACAGCATCCTTACTGATCACAAACGGCCGTGTTTCTGTGTGGGTGTACACATATAAGCTAGCTACTTTGATATGACTCTCATGAATCTGTTTATGGAAGGGAAAATACTAGCAGCTGTGCTGAAGAAAGATTGACAACTCTCATGAATCTGTTTATGGAAGGGAAAATACTAGCAGCTGTGCTGAAGAAAGATTGACCCTCAGAGTTTTCTCCTCCATTCCCAAATATTATGTGCAGAACAGAGTGAAAGCAACAATGTTACCATTTGTTCTGTCCCTGTTCCCTGATATACTGAATTTATCATTATGCTGGTGGAACTAACCTCGATTTCGTCAGCATCAGGGCGCTTTATGAACTCTTTAGCAAGTAGATATCGGTTAGGCCTCTCTTTGTCATCAAAAAACACATTCCACAATCTGGTAAACAAATCAGAGTACAGAAAAGTTTAGAAACTTCAGGATGCTGCTATAAAAGGCAGGCAGCAAGGTTTCTAGACCTATAATAATGTGCCTAACAGTTGGTTTCTTTCTACCGTCGATAACACCTGAAGACAGCACCTTCTGGCAGTGGTCACTGTGGTTAAAGTGCTGCAACATGCCAGATTCGAGAAATCAGATACGGTTAGTTCATCAATGCCATGAAACAGCAAGGAAGATAAATGCATTCTGTGTGGATTTGCCTCCCTTTTTACTTCGAGAAGTAGCGCCTGAGGTTGCGAACGTTGATCCCTACTCCAACATCTTCACTAATGAGGCATGGATTCCACATGATTAGTTGCCTTGGCTGGATAGAAGAATATAACTGCAATCAATATATCAACAAAATGTATACTGATGAGGTCACGAGGATATGAATCCAATTTCAGCTTAACTGTAGTACCAGATCGTCTGAAAGACTGGCTGTGATTTTCTCCACAGATGAGACCATTTGGTAATCAGGAACAAGCATAACCACAATCTCATCTTCGCTATCAACTGGCTTCCTGTTGCCCAATCTGATAATAGGGAACCTCTAATCTTGAGTGACAAAATTTGCTTCAACATCTTCAATATACATGGTGAAATGGAACCCACGATTGAGAAGTGCAGCAGCACCAGCATCTCGGCATATGGCTTTCACTCTCTGAAGCAACAAACCAAAACTTTACAGTGTTATCACTACATCAATGTAAAAGAAATGTTGAGCAGATTGAGAAGTGCAGCAGCACCAGCATCTCGGCATATGGCTTTCACTCTCTGAAGCAACAAACCAAAGCTTTACAGTGTTATCACTACATCAATGTAAAAGAAATGTTGAGCAGTTCAAAACTTACTAACAATGATGGGAGAAATGGAACCTGGGTGTCTGTCTTTTCCATTAGGGTTTCCAGGAAAACCATTGAGATATCCCATACTCAGCTTGCTCACCTTCATCATCTAGAAACTGAAGCTGTGGGATCAAAAGCTCCATCTGCAAAAAATTGATGCCACCAAAGAGCTTCAGTCACTTTGCTTGATCAACGTAAATTGCAAATGGGCCAGATTTCTTGTATCTGACAGATCCAAAGCCTGAACCAAAAAGGAGCGTAATGGGCCTGATGCGGTAAATTCAAGCCCAATAGCTTTAAATTTCGGAGATCGGAGTGAAACGCTCCGTGGCTGAAATAAACGATATAGCCGTTAAAGATAGAAAAAGCCTTTTCCATTTTCTATCCAACGAATCGCTTCTTTCAATTCAAACTTCCCCCAAATAGGAAAACCCTCTACTCCAAATCTCTCTCTTTCTGCTCTGCTCTGCTCGGTTCTCTCTCTAGCATTCACCTTCACCAGCTCTTGCTCGCTCGCTGTCAAGGTTCTTCCTCATCTCTCTGTGCAAAATCGCATCCTGCATCGCTTTTTGATCCCGACGCCATGGAAGGTACTGCCTGCGGGGCTTGTCTCGACTCTCTTCGATATCTTCCGTTTTCTTGGTTCCTTGTTGCCTTCGATTTCCCGAACTGGAAATGGTTGAATGTCGCGCTGAGCAAAATTCTCCGATTGTTTCAATCAGATCCGGTGATGGAACTGCTCCCGGAGAGTTGCTGCGATGGTGCTGGCTCTGTACACTTCCAGCCGGAGCCTTCTTCTTTGTCGTTTTCTTCCTCAGGTCTGTTTTCTTGCTCTAAGTTCTACATAAGAAAAGATTTCCTTCTGGTTGAATTTTTCGTACAGTGGAAATTCTCTTGAGAGGTTGTTTGGAGAATTCTTGGTAGTGTTTAAAACCCTAGGTTGTTATGTCTCCTGTTTGATTTCACTGTCCTTCTTCGCCCTCTTCATTTCTTGGCTTTTGCCGACGACGATGGATGTTGATTCTCTGCTTTTTATTTTATTTTATTCTGTTCTCAGATCGAACTCCAGCTGCTGAAACGAGGGAAGGAGGTAAAATTGCTATTTGGGATTATTGTGTTTGTCATTTTGAATTGGATAGGGATATACTGCAGTGTGTCTTTATTCTCTTCCTGCAATGTAAAAAAAATGGTGTGACCTTTTGGCCAGTTGTTCTGGAGCCAATTGAGGAAGCCACCAGTTCGATGGAGGAAGGTAGCTTTTCAAGTGGGAATAAAGAGGTTTCTTCATGTCAGGAGCCTACACTGCCCTTAGTTCAGAAAATTACCAATTTGAGCACTAAAATTCAGGTAAAATTGATTGGCTGGAATTCTATCTCGTTTATATAAGTTTACTGGTTCACTTAAACTTTCTGCATCCGTGGAAAAACGGAAAGGGTCAGGATTCACGGTTGGGCGGCTTTAACATTCATCTGGTGGCCCAAACTGGTTTAATGCTTGTGGTAGTTGAAGAATGAGCATGCAGTTCTCTCAGATCTTCTCACTGATTCTTTTTACTTCAGAACTTGAAGAATGAGCATGCAGTTCTCTCAGATCAAGTCAAAAACATCTCAACGGATTTCTTTGCCCAGCCTGAACTTGTGGGAGCTCTTCAACTTCTTGGTGAGTTTTTTTTATCTTGGTACCTTAGTTCACCAATTTCATTGAGATCATTTTCGCACCCAATTAGCACAAACTTTCTTTTATCTATTATGGGATTATTAGGCCAATATCTTTTAGTACAAATTATGGAAGACGGACATCTTTTTGGTTTTTTTGTGACATCTTTATAGGTTTTAGGGCAATTTGAGTGGCTTTGAGGGTGAGATTATGGTTATTTTCAGTTTCCAGCAACATGACACCTGTTGTTGGCTTGCTGCACCAGGTAAAGAGCATGAACATCTAAAGAAGAAGTTTGTGCAACAGCAAGCTGAGAGGAAGAGGCTTTACAATGAAGTGATTGAGCTTAAAGGAAACATCCGGGTATTCTGCAGGTGTAGACCACTTAACCAAGCTGAGGTTGAGAAAGGTTGCAATGATGTGGCTGAATTCGACTCGTGCCAAGATAATGAGCTTCACATTCTTTCTGCTGATTCTTCAAAAAAACCATTCAAGTTTGACCATGTTTTCAGACCAGATGATAACCAAGGTCAATTTTGGATCTGATCTCATTATTTTAATAAAAAAGACCACGTTTTAGTCCTACTAGATTTCTTAGCTCTGGATCTGCTGAATTTTGCAGAGGTTGTATTCGCCGAAACCAAACCCATTGTGACTTCAGTGTTGGATGGCTATAATGTCTGCATCTTTGCCTATGGACAAACTGGAACCGGGAAGACATTCACTATGGAGGGCACACCTGAAAACAGAGGAGTGAACTATCTGACTCTGGAAGAGCTCTTTCGTGTTTCTGAAGAACGAAGGGGATTTATGAAATACGAGTTATTTGTCAGCATGTTGGAGGTTTACAATGAGAAGTTGAGGGACCTTCTAGTGTTGAATCCGAGCGAGACTTCAAAAAGGTACATTTGTTTGTCAGCCTTGAACTTGTTTGTTAAATAATGGTTAGCAAATAAAGATGAGTTTGGCTTTTAGGTGCTTAATGTTAGCAAAGTCTATTGGATGGGTTTAAACAGATAAATTAACAATTTGTGTTAACATTGCATGAAGGTTGGAGATAAAGCAAGCTGCTGATGGAACTCAAGAAGTGCCTGGGCTCGTTGAATCTCATGTGTCTAGCACAGATGAAGTATGGAAGATACTTCAGTCTGGGAACTGCATAAGATCCGTTGGTTCCACGAGCGCCAATGAACAAAGCAGTCGTTCTCACTGGTACAGTACCACTGAATCAGCCGCCACTGTTTACATTCATCTTTTATCCTTTACCTGTATTAAGCGCCAAAACCATGTACTTTCTCGTGCAGCTTATTACGAGTGACAGTGAAAGGGGAGAGTTTAATCGATGGGCAGAAGACAAGGAGCCACCTCTGGCTTGTGGACTTGGCTGGAAGTGAGCGTGTTGGGAAAATTGAAGTAGAAGGCGAGAGGTTGAAGGAATCCCAGTTCATAAACAAGTCTCTCTCAGCCCTTGGTGACGTCATTTCTGCTCTGGCTTCTAAATCAAGCCACGTTCCTTACAGGAACTCAAAGCTTACTCACTTGCTGCAGAACTCTCTCGGTGAACCACTTTTCCCCTCAGACATGAAGTCCTTCGAGTCAATTGAGAGTTATTAAAAGTCTTGCTAACAGAGATGGGGGTGTGTGATATGAAATGCAGGAGAAGATTGCAAGACCCTTATGTTTGTCCAGATAAGCCCTAGCTCGGCTGACTTGGGAGAGACCCTTTGCTCACTGAATTTCGCCACACGTGTCAGGGGTGTCGAAACAGGTCCTGCCCGCAAACATTCGGATCACAATGAGCTCTTGAAGTACAAGCAAATGGTACTACTTTAAACACGATCACAATTCCTTTTCTTCTTTAACAAGTTATCTGCCCCCGTAACTCAATTCCTTCGATGGTAAAATCACATAGGTGGACAAGCTGAAGCATGACGAGAAGGAAACAAAGAAGTTGAGAGACAATAACCACGCTTTACAGCTGCGGCTCACTACCAAAGAATCCATGTGCAGGAGTCTTCAAGAAAAGGTAATGCATGAAACTAAAGCTAACCAAGTCACAACAACTCTTGGTTTCTTACCGCTCCTTCTCTTACTTAATGAACAACCAGACGAACTGAAAATGAATGATTTGGTTGGTTGGTTACGTTGGTATTAGGTACGGGAGCTCGAGAACCAGCTAGAGGAGGAAAGGAAGACTAGAATCAAGCAGGAAAATAGAGCTTTTGCTTCCATGGCTTCTGCTCGGTCTTTGTTCTCATCCATAAGACCAACTTCAGCAGCAACAGAGAATAGCTACAACAACAACAACAATGGAGGAGAGAGAAAGCCTCCTCTGGCTCCTCCTCCTTCGAAGCTGAGGATGCCACTGCGTGGAATTACAAACTTACCTTCAACGGGTGGCAGGGGAGCCACCGCCACGTGGAAGAGAAAGGAGAACGTGGTGCCTACTAGACCCTCAGCCGTCACCAAAGCAATCCCACCACCACCAACGGTAGCGGCAAACAACAGCAGACTGAAAGCTCGGCGTGGTTCCTTCGCAGTCCGACCTGCTCCTCCGCCAGCAGAAGTCCGTCTGCCGAAGCGACGAGTCTCCCTCGCCACGCTCATCCCCGAACCAAGCATGTCATCATCATCATCAACCATGTCGACTCCTCTGATGGCACAGCGGCGGCCTTCGTTCGTCAGGAAGAAGAGGTATTCGAGGTTGTTCTCGCCATTGCCGGAGGCTTCCGAGACGCCCGCGAGGACGGTGACGGAGACGCCTGCGAGGATGAGTAGCAAATTCATGGGGAGCCCACCACCGCCTGGCTCGTGGAAACCGAAGCATCCTACGGTGGTTGCGCTGCAGAGGAAGTCTCTGGTGTGGAGCCCTCTCAGGTTACGAGGTGCGAAGAATAACGGTGGTGGCGCCGTCCGGCGGCCTTCTCTTGTCGCTGCTGTGAGGAACCAATTTTAACCTGAAACTTGGATCAAAATGGGTCTTGGGATGAATGTGTTGTTGTTTCTGTGATTTAACCTCTTACATTTCTGTTGGATGTGGCGATTGATGACAAAATGGTCTCTTCTCATTTGGTAATCATCCTTTACTTAAGGATAGTTGTTAGAAATTGGCCTGATTGATGATCTTCTGTAAGATGCATAGTGAATGAATTATGAATAGCTTCCCCGTTCTCCTCTTGTATGTTCAACTTAATCGGAACTGAGCCTTCTAGTTTAATTCTACTTGAAGCATTGCTAATGTGGTTCATCTTAATCTCCAAAGTCCAAAGAGGACGTAAACCATTACTCTCCATTATGTTAACATATAATAATAGTTTATTAGTTAATCACCGATCATAAAATAAAAGTTAATTAAGTCCATGTGTAGCATACTAATATTTTAATGTAGCAAAAAAAAAAAAAACCAAACTAAACTAAAAAAGCAGCAAAAAACGAAACAATGCAAGTGGTAGTGGATAATTTTCTCTCCAAATTGTAGGGTTGGGTTCTACAAGAAATTTTCTCTCCTGTTTTTCCTTCTCTTGCACTTTTCATTCCTTAACACTATGTTCATTTAGGAGAGAAAAGGAAGGAGAGGGAAAAATTACATCCCGAGAAGATTTCCCCATTTCCGAACGTTTCAACAGGACGGAGGGGAGGGAAAAGCGACGAAAATGGAACTGTTCCACTAGTCCCTCCGATTTGGGCGGAAAGTCCGACTTTCCTTTCCTTTTCTCTTTTTATTCTTTTTCTTTTCAATTTGGTTTCCTTTCCTTCTCTGGCGGTGGTAATATTTTGTTCACTTTTTAATCCTATTTTTTGTGGTAATATTTTGTTCACTTTTTAATCCTATTTTTTCTCTTTATTAATTTGGTTTCCTTTCTTGATATTGTTTGCATAAATTAGTCACGAAAAAAATGGAATTAGCAAAGTGATATTACCATAAAATCATTCTTTATCTTGCATCGTTAATTATTCACGAATTATTAATGGAAATAGTAAATATTACCATAAAATATTGTTTTGGACTATATGACACCAAAGCGAGTATAATGCGATTCGATCGTGAATTTTATAATTGTTAAAGAAAAATGGACCAGTTTGATATTTGGACCGGATCAAATGAGTGATTTATGTCATGTATAACGTACGCTATATATAAAACTGTTAGGAGAGATGTAAAAGTGTGTTACATTCAAAAATGGCAACACAGTGTAAAAAATTTTATTGAATAAATGTCATCTTATACAACCGAGGTAATACAATTTTTATGAAAAAAAAAGTTTAATCGAGTTAAAATGAACGAGATTTTTAATAGTGAATCAAATTAGTAAAAAAGAATAAATTTTATCTACTGTTTATAAGTAATATAAATAACATCAACACATAATTTTGATTATTTTACTATTACATACCCAATAAACTAACATATATATCACACTTCCTAATATACTTTTTCTCTCTCACATTCTTTTTCACTTTCCTCCATAAAACAACATTTTCTCTCCCTTTCAATTTTCTCTATCCTCTTTTTCCTTCACCTCCAAATTTTCCTTTCCCTCCATTTTCTTTCCTTCCTTCGAAAACAGAGTGTAAAAGACAGAAGAAAGTTTATGAAAAATTGGTATTTTCATCCCACTTTTCCCTTCCCTCCCCTCTCCTCCCCTCCCCTCCCCTTTCCTCCCTTTTTTCTCCTTCTTGAACACATTGTCAGTAAAGAAAAAACCTAACAGGAGAAAATCGAAATGTTAAGTTAATTAAAAAAGAATGCTCTCACCAAAAAAAAAAAAATGCAATCAATTACCGAAAAGAAAGAAAGAATGCAATGTGAGGGATAAGCTGGTGTGGTCGCGGGAGGATGATGGGGTGTATAGTGTCAGGTCGGGTTATCATCTAGCTGTTTCTCTTAGTCGAAAGTTGCCAGGGTGGAAGGATGATGTTTCCTTTTTTGATAATACTTTTTGGAAGAAGGTGTGGGATTTCCCCATTCCTCCGAAATTGAAGTTCTTTGTCTGGCAAATGCTGCGACGCATTCTGCCCACCATGGAGGCGATCGTGGAGAAGGAAGGGAAAGTGCCGGCGGTGGATGAAAATACGACATCGCCTCAATGTCCAGTGTGTTGGGCACCGATTGAGACCTTGGAGCATATGCTTTTATCGTGCACAGTGGCTAGGGCGCTTTGGGATAGATCGGGCATTGGCGGAGGGGTAAGCTCTCCTGAATCTGATAACTTCGCTTTGTTTTTTCGCCGATTTGTTGACCAGAATTCTAGTACTGAGAGGATAGTCCGCTTAGTGGCGCTGTTATGGAGAATATGGAAGAGTCGGAATTGGGTTGTTTTCGATCATGTGCAGTATGCTATTCCGCGTAGGGATGGCAATGGGTCGGGTCGGGGACGGATAGTGCATATCCGTTACCCTACCCAAAGTAGTTCGGATTTTACCCATACCCATACCCACATAAGAAACGGGTAGAAAATCCAAACCATGCCCATACCCGTTCGAGTTTCGGGTATCCACGGTTATCCGTGGGTAATAATTTCTCTTTATAACTCCAACCAATATGTTAATATTCACACGCAGTCTCACGTTACGTACGATGAAAAGTACGACAATAATTCACTAGAATGAAGAAATTCATTAAAATAACACAATTTCATAAAAATATTATATTTATATGCTAGATATAAAATATGTTAGAGAAAAATATTGATTATTTCTAGAAAAAATACATATGCATGTGTATAATCGGACGGGTTCGGGTTGGATAGTGAGAAAATCATGCCCACCCATTACCCGCAATATTCGGGTTCGGGTTTTACCCGTACCCACTTAAAGTCTTTCGGGTTCGGGTTTTACCCTACCCGATTAGGTCGGATTCGGGCGGATATCCACGGTTACGGATATTTTTGCCATCCCTAAATTTCCGCGGCTTATGCGTCAGTATGAAAGCCAGGTTAGGAAATGGCTGGCGATTGTGCAACCAGTGCAGGGACAACATGAGGCAAGTCGTGTGGGTGGGGAGAGGATTGGTGGGGGGTGTCCTAGTCAGGTGATGGATGGAATGGCGTATTCCTGTTTTGTGGATGGTGCGGTGGCACCGGGGTCTCATGGTGCGGGGGGTTTGGTGGTACGAGATGCGATGGGTAGTGTTTGTTTTGTGAAAGGTTTTTCCTATGCAGGTTTGGTGGATCCCTTCTTAGTTGAGTTGATAGCCTTCCGTGATGCGATTCAGTGGTGCTCTTTGAAGGGCCTTACTGAAGTGAAGTTTTATGGAGATGCAAAGGTTGTCATTGACAATATTCGGAGGGCTGATGCTAGGGATTTGCGAGGAGAAAGGATTTTGGAGGAGATTGGTGGGATTCAGCAGTGGTTTGCGAGGTTTGACATTGCTTTTGTTGACAGGAGTAACAATCGAGTGGCTCATGAGGTGGCCAGGAAGACCCTTTCTTTATTGCCTGCGAGTGTGGAGAGTTTTGATTTTGATAGTTGGTATTTCTTGTGATGTAAACAATGCTTTTCTCTTGTTTTGATTTTGATAATAAAAGCTATCTATTGTTAAAACAAAAACAAAAAAACATATCCCACTCCAACTAAAAAGAAAAAGAAGGAAATAACGAAAGCATTGAATCCATTCCGTCCCGGTTAACAATTAAAATTAGAAATGATTTATAACCCAATCACTGGACGCCATGTGGGCTAGGAGCAGCAACGGGCGGCAACCCGGCTCTCTGCCAAGTTTCGCCCCTTTTTCCACCGCCGTTCCGTCCTCCCTTCCGGGGGACCAAACAATGGCGAGAACCCAAGTTCGACTCCTCTTATGGAAACGCCTTAAACCCTGCTACAGCTTCTCCCACCTCTCTTCCTCGCCGTACGCCCTTAAACCCTACTCCACTTCTTCCGCAGCCGTCTCCTTATCTTCCGACCTTCCGAAACCCTCTTCCCTTTCCGCCCGCATTAGCTTCCTTTCCGATCAAATCGATGCCATTGAGCGAGAACGCGCCGAGAAGCACGAAACCCTGCAAAATATTCGAACTTGGCGCCGGTCCAAAACTGACAACCAGCAGCTTCAAAATCAGGAACTGAGAGAAGAGCCTAGTTTCCGGAAACCTGAAGTAGTAGTAGTAACGACTGTTAGCTCCTCGCATGATGAAGAATCCGATGCTGGGTACGGTTTTGATGTGAGCAGTTCTGGGTCGGGTGTTGAGCTGGGTACGGTTTTGCATCCGTGGCCGGAATGGATAGAGTTGATGCAGAGATTGGCTCTGCAGAATTACTTCGATCATCAGAGTACAGAAGAGGACGAAATGGTTGAGAGTTTGGGAATTGATGATGGCTTTGAAGATGTGAAGGCATCTGTTGAGAAGAATGAGAAAGGTATTGATTTCGCTAAAGATTTTAGGACCGTCCAGAATGCTTTTGTCAATTTCGGCAAAGACAGATTCGATATCTTGAGGTTAGTTTCTGTTCCATTTTGCTGCTTCAGTTTCAGTCTGATGATGTTTTCCTCAACACTGATCACATCCACATAGATGATTATGATGATTTAGGAAGCTGATATGATTAGGGCTGCAATTAGGAATGACAATAGGGCTGGAGGGGATGCTGTTGAGTAGTGCGCAATACTGGTTCTGCTGGTTATTTTGTTTGGAGGCATGAGTCTGGGGGCAGGTCGATCTATTATGCGACAAGTCATCCTGAGAAAATATAGATAGTGATTCAATTTCGGAAACACCTTAGCTTCTGTTTTATCCTAATATGAGCCAGCTACAGCTTATCGTGGTTCTGAAATTTTCTATATCATAGCACAATCTGAAGAAGAGTTGTTATATTAGTCTCATTGGGTTTGGATGTGATTTTATATTGGTTCATCATTAGGTCATTGTCGAGAAAGGATCTCCAGCTGTTGGTTGGCTATGGATGCCCAACTGCAGACAGAAGGGTCGTTATGTCTGCCAAACTCCTGAGGAAGCATGTCCACCTTAATGAAGACGATGTGAGTTAGTCACTTGTGAATGTTTGGCTTTGCCCATAAATATGTTTGAGCAGGAGGTGGAGAAAATGTTTGCTTTTCAAGGCACAAGTTAAAAAGTTTGAACTTTTCATCTGTACATCAGGTTTGTAGCAGCTGCAGCTTGAGGAGCTCGTGTGGGAAAGCATTTCTGCTGACAAATAAAGAGGAGGAAGCACACACCAATGATGTATTGCGGGTTCTCTTGGCTTACGGCTCTGATCGTACAAATGAGTCGGTAACCAATAAGCCTATTCTGGAAGAAAACTCCGTCAAAACTGTGGTCCGGAAGCTATTTCACGAGATTGTAAAGCTGAGTGCAGATCCTATCAATCCGAATCTCCCTCCTCCTGTGATCAAGAAACCTCCTCCAAAAGTGAAGCAGCCTCCTCCGCCGCCGAAGGTACAAGTTGGACGTGATGATATCGAGATGAAGAAAGGCGATTGGCGCCTCAAGTATGTCACCAGTTTATGATATTATTATCTTTTTTTATAAGGGTGAACACCCGTTTATGATATTATGACCAAGTCATGTACAGATAGATATGGTTTCTAAGTTTGCTTTTCTTTGTTGCTGAGAATACTGGATATCTGGATTTTCTTTGTTTCTGCAGATGCGACTTCATGAATTTCACGAAGAACACTGCATGTTTACAATGTGATGCCAAGAGCCCAAAGAGAGAGTTGCTTCCTGAAGAACGGGAATGCCCTCAGTATGTTTTATATCTTCATTGCTCTTATTTAGGGTGTGTTTAGTTCAGGCTTTTCTTTATATTTTAGGAGAGTAGATTAAGTTCTAGAAAAACTGTAGAAGGAAATATAATTAACGGGGCAATACTAATGTGAGTTTTAGCTATTTCAAGTCCGTGGTTCACCGTGATAGTTCTAAAAGGATTGAAGGAAGAAGTGTGTTTCAGCTTTTTTCAACTGAAACATAGCACACCGTTAATCTTGGCCTGTCATGCTTTATGCTAAGTGCTAACTGGTGATTTCTCTTTCTGTTTCGTTCATGGCAGGTGTAACTTAAACTATAGGAGAAACATGGTATGCCTTCATTGTGATTGCAAGCGTCCACATGAAGAATTCTTGGAGAATAGAATGGAGGAAAGGAATCGTGAGCAGAAAACAAGGTTCGAGAAGGATGCAACTCGTCCTGAAGTGTCGAATGCCTGGAACTTCAATTTAAATGACGACGAGTCAGATGGTGCAGATGTTGCTGCTTTTGAGAATGCAGACTCTGTATTGAATGATCACGAACCTCCTATGTCCGCTGCTCCAGCTCAGGGAGGAAACTTCAGAGACCGTGAAATGGGTGCCAGAAATCCAAGCAGGTATTCGAATTCACAACCAAGTAGATCTGGAACAGGGATAACTCTGACGCATCAGATTGTGCACTCCACCTTGCTTAATTGCTCTTCTGACTTGATTGCCTTGAGCTTTTTCATCTGGTCGGCTAAGCAACCTAATCATTTCCACGATAGACGAGCATTTGACCATATGGTTGGAGTTGTTTGGCGTTTGAGTACTAAGTACCATGTTAAAGGAATCGTTAGGGAGCTCGAGAACATTGGTATCGCTACCAAGGCACCGACCTTCTTGCTTTTACTGCGGGTTTATTGGTGTGGAGGCATGTACACTATGGTTTTAGAAGCTTTTAAACAGATGTGTTATTTCGGGTTTACGCCAAACACATTTGCTTACAACGTGATCGTCGATATCTCGTTCAGGATGGGGCAGACGCCTGTAGGTATGAAGGCTTTGAAGGATGTCCCATCACCAAATTTCTTGAGTTACAATATCGCATTGTGTCACGTGTGCAAGTCGAATGATCTGGTTCATATTAAGGATGTGCTGTGCAGGATGGTGAGGAAGGGTTACTATCCCACTGCTCAGACTTTTGAGACAGTTCTGAATTGTTTCTGTAGGGTAGGTAACTTAGGAGGGGCATTTCAAGTATTGGGTTTAATGGTTGTATTGGGAGCTTCACTGTCTGTCATGATTTGGACTAAGTTGATCGGTGGATTCTTCAACTTGGGTGAACCTGTTAAGGCAGGTTTTCTGTTTAAGAAGATGGTTGAGACGGGTTGTTCTCCGAATGTAGTTACTTACACAACTCTCTTTAGAGGATATGTAGAGTCCGGAATGGTCGATGGGGCGTTTACTGTTTTGACTGCTATGGAATCTGGGGGTCTTGCTCCTGACCTGGTTCTTTGCAATGTTCTGATGCATAGTTTGATTAAGATTGGGAGGGAAGATGATGCTGCAAGTGTATTTGTAAGTATGCTGAAATGGAATTTGGTACCTGATTCTTTCACTATGTGTTCTTTGCTGTCGACCCAAGGTTCTTCTAGAAACTTCCTCTTGTGGTTAAAGCTGCTTGCCAGGTTTATCATGTTAGACGATCCAGCTCTCTATAACTCGTTGATACATTGTGGTTGTTATGCTGGGTATCCGTTTCTTGCTGAGTGGTTTTATGAAGATATGGTAGAGAAAGGCTTCATGCCAGATAACTATAGTTTTGCTGGATTGCTTAGAGCGCTATGTGCACAAGGAAGAAGTGATAAAGCCGTCAATGTGTATCTTGGACTTCTTAGGACTGGCCATGATCTTAACGCTCATGTGCATACTGTAATTATGGTTTGTCTTATACAAAGTGGCGACTTTGACAGGGCAATAAAGTTGTTTAGGGAAGCTGTGGTGCAGAAGTACCCATTAGATGATGTGTCGTACACAGTTGTCATCCGGGGACTGTTTGAACGTGGGAGGACAGAAGAAGCAATAAACTTGTATGACAAAATGAAGTCTGTTAATTTGTCTCCTAATGTGCATACATATAAAGTAATGCTTCATGGGTTGTCCGTAAGGAGAGACCGTGAGAGGATTGAGAAGTTGTTGGAAGATATTGTTGAGGCTAAGGTCCTGCTGGATGAGGAGATGCAATGAGAAGGCAATAATGGAGGGGAAGTGCGAGGGCGGGTTCAAGATTTCAAGACTGTTACTTGGACTGTGTGGGTTCTAAAGACGGGCGGGAATTGTTTCAGGGTGTAAAGAGCCCTACAAGGATCTTGACGAATATGAGGAGATGGATGAGGAGAAAGATTACGACTGCGATAAAGAAGAGAAGGGAAAGATCTAGCTCTGTGCTGTCCAAATTTTGGACAAATGGCTTTCATTACTGAAGTCTATTAAGCGTATAAGCCACCCGCCTGAGTTTGATCACACCAAGTGCTTGATCGAGACCAAAGGAACTATGGGTCCGGTAACTCTGTGTGGTCTAAATATGGGTATGGCGCCGGCGCTAGCACCGGAGCTAATGCATTTGAGCATTCCCAAATTTCGGTGAGAAGTGTACAAGACCCTTGACCAGTAAAGTCTCTGTTTCTGCTGCGATTCTCAGTCCGTACAGGTATCCTCGACTCACTCTCTCTCTCAACCAGAAAGTTTATTCAGTTTGCTAATTTTCAAAATTAGGGCTTCAGTATTTCAATTATGAGGATTTTTTTTTAGTTCCTTTTCTCTGTTTGCTCTCTGTATTTCAATGGATGCGGCAATTTATTCTTGTACTAGGTCTTGTGATGGCTGCCGTTTCCAAATCAGTTATATTTCCATCAAGTTCTTTACTGTGTCACTTTGACCCTTGCTTATATCACCTGTGCCATATATTCTCACTGAGCTATCTTCTAAGTTGATATAATATAATACTTCAGGTGGTACATCTCTTGGGAAACAGCATTGTGTCTGTGGACCGGCACCTTGTATATCACATATTTAAAGATAACATCTCGAGATTTTGGTATGATTACTTGTTGAGAGCTTATCTCTACTTGTTGGAGTTTGTTTTTAAATCGAATGAAACTATGTTCTAATTGACACTCCATTCTTTCTAGGTGGAAGGATGCAATCGCCATACTGCTGGTGATTACTTTGTTAATCTTCCTTGTATTTCTACTTCTTCTCCTGCTCTTCCATAGGTATGTAAATTCTGGCTTTTTCCCCACAAATAGCTGGTGCTGTGTTTATTGCATTATACCATCACGCAACTCTCTTGAAAGCTATTGTCTCTCACCTCTGGCCGTAAGAATTTCCACCATATATTACAGTAAACTTCCTTCTACTTCCTGAAAAGGTGAAGGATAAAAGTCTCTATTGCTGCAGGAAGTACCTTTCCCGAAAACGACCCTTTCGGAAGCATTAAGACAATCCACTAACTATTGTTTCTGGTACAGCTATCTTATTTTCACCAACTAGACCACCTTTGAACCAGTAAGACGCTAGGCGGATCCCAGATTTGAGCTACCGTGTAAAGCTGCATACTGAGGACCTTGCTTAGGTCCTGGCTACTTTTTCCAACATGCCCTCTTGTTGATCCACCGGGGTATTCCTGAAACTGTGTATCCCTTCAGTAAGGGAGTTCTGGGGCAACTTGTATGGTTTTTGTTGTGCTCCTAGAAGCATATACAGTTTGGAAAAGAGCATGCCTTCCAGGGTTGAACTTGAAGAGAGGTCAAGACATTACACGTGCTTTGGATATTTTGACTGGCCGTTGCTGCCAAGAGCTTTGTTGCATTGTAGATTTACTCGTGTGCAGACTATTCACGCTAGAGTCCATTAGGAAGACAGTTTGTTCCATCAATCCATTTGTCTCCTCTCTGGAAAAGAACAACACTTTTGCCGCATCTTTAGAAGGATCTGCAGTTAGGGATAAGGCAATTGTGTTCTTGACTTCAGTATTGTTGTCTGTACTCTGGCCTCTGGGCCAAGTCTCGGTAAGTCAGGTACGTCATATTTTCGTAACTTTTTGTATATACTAATGAGGATGGAGGAAACTGATTGTATCACTGTAGGTTAACTGTAACTATTTGCAAGAAAAGCAGCGAGACCATTGTTACGAATTGTAAAATTGTGTCTCACCCTATATGATATTAAGACATTGAGTATGTTAGTAAATATGTCTTATTTTTAATTTTAAAAAAATATTATAATTTTTTTAGGGTTAATATATTTGTATGGCCTGAACTTTGATCAAAATAAACATCCTGGCTAATCTTTTCTATCTCTAACATCCTGACCCAAACTATACATCAAAATAACGAAATTGGCGAAACCCGATATTTGATCGTTAACTTGGACGGTCAAACACGTCGACTAACGGTCAATGTGCCACGTCACTGCCAGTCAGCACCCTTCCATTACAAAACTGTATATTTTTCACCTATTACTAATTATTTTTTTCCATTTTGAATAAAAAATTTGAAAAATGAAAAATGAATTTCGGGGAAAACGTGGAAAATTTAAATTTTTTGAAAAAACTAAATTCATTTTTCTTTTTCTTTTGTTCAAAATTAAAAAGGAAAATGATAATAGGTGGAAATTATAAAATTTTTTAATTAAAAATTGTTGAGTTGGCAGTGACGTGGTGCATTGACCGTTAGTCAACGCGTTTGACCGTCCAAGTTAACGGTCAAATATTGGGTTTGGCCAATTTCGTTATTTTGATGTATTGTTTGGGCCAGGATGTTATGGATCGAAAAGATTGGTCAGAATGTTTATTTTGGTCAAAATTCAGGCCATACAAATCTATTAACCTTTTTTTACCATAGATTGCTTTGAATTTATGAACTAAATAAATATGATACTTAACACAATATAACATGAGATTAGTTAATGATAAAAAATTTGACTATTTTTGTATCATGTCATTAATCACATGTATCATACATGACATACAAAATGAATATATCAAACACTAGCCAAATTCTTAGTAAACGAGTTTAGCTTGAGCTCGACTCCTTAATAAACGAGCTGAGAGCCAAACCCGAGCGAGGATAAAGCTTAACTCGACTAGACTCATTTACAGTCCTGCAAGTGATTATGGATGACTGATTTAGATCGAAGCTTGGACTATTAAATAATTAGTGGTGGTGGGAGAGATGATGTGCAAATTTAAATAATTGATTTTTATGTTTTTAATTGACATGTCAGCTAACTAACGATCAAACTTAAGCATTGACTGTCATTTAGGATGAAGTTAACTGAATCAAATGTCTAGTAATTAACGATGAAATGAAATCTAAAGTGAGTGACTAATAAGAAAGAACAATATGAATGACTAAACTTGTAATTTAGTTCAAAACTAAAGAGAAAGTCGGCTAAATTACACGTTTGGTCACTCGAATTATACAAATCTTTCACGTTTGCCACCCGAATTACTTTTCTTTCTTATTCGCCACTAACTTTACGAATCATTTCACTGTTAGTCACCGGCCGTTACACTCTGTTAAATTTGTCCTACGTGGCAATCAAATTTAAAGTTTGACCGTTAACTAGATGACGTGGAAATTAAAAAAATTAATTTATTTGTCCCACCTCATCATTTCACTTACTTTACTTTGTGTATATGATTTATCATACCATTTATTCAATAAAAATTAATTAAATTAAATAAAACAAATAATATATATTACGTTCTTGAGTTGCACATATATGAATATATGTAACTCCAAACTCTCCATTCTTCTCGTCACTCCTCCGACAATGGCGACATCTCCCGGTCTTGTCTCTCCCTCCTGGACCACTTGCACCTCTCTCCTTCGCCAGTTGCAGCGGCGTCACACTCACATTCATCCTTTCAGCCTCTTTTTGTTGCATGCTCAATCTCATGCCGACATTCAGTCTTCAAGCATTGATCTCCACCAACAACTATGGTGGATGCTTCTGACCCCGCCGTCGACGGAAAACCAGCGACAGAGACGGATCTGGTTCTCAAATCAGCCATCAAGACCGATCTGCTTCATCTCCGGCTCCCTCCGGCACCTTCCCGATTTACGCCCACAACTTTCGCCTCCTCCTCTGCCACCCGACCGACTAGCGACAAAATCGTCTCAGGGAACGACCCTTTTCGCAGCCAGTGGACAGATTTGGTTCTCAAGCATCCGCCACATCTGGCGAGTTGAACCAAAATATTTGATAACCAACAAGAAGAACTCAAAAACTGAAGACGCCTAGCGTACGTCTATTTAGTCTTCCCTCAGTTGGAGCCATGGCTCATTCCAGTCACTTATGGATACATATCTATCCTAATCGGATCATTCCAAAACAACTAATTGATGATGGAGACTCCAAATTGAATGAACCCTCCATTCAGATCTAGTCACTTCCGCCTTCGGTAGATCTGAGCTCTTCACCATTGACTTCAAATCCGGGGATAAGATAAGTCATCGTCGTTCCGGGCAGTATTTCACCTCGACGTTACTGGCGCTGGTGAGGTCCTGGGTTGTTGTGATATAATTTAATTAAATTAAAAAATAATTAATTTAAGGATGACAAATCATATATATAAAGTAACTAGAATGATGAGGTGGACAAATAAATTTATTTTTTTTAATTTCCACATCATTTAGTTAACGGTCAAACTTTATAGTTGACTGCCACGTAGGAAAAATTTAACGGAGTGTAACGGCCGGTGACTAACAGTGAAATGATTCGTAAAATTAGTGGCGAATAAGAAAAAAAAAGTAATTTGGGTGACAAACGTGAAAGATTTGTATAATTCGAGTGACCAAACGTGTAATTTAGCCGATCAGTCGTGAATAACAAATATTGAAGGAAATTATGCTTTGTGGTTATTTGCTTGGTGCACCAAATATCAATACAGCACATTAAGTGGCGGTAGTGTAGTTTCAGCCTCCACCCTCGGATCCACATCTCGACAAACGACCCAGATTAGCCGATCGTTATTGCATCGTTTCTTTTCGTTTTTTGGCTTTCCCACTTCTCCCAAACAGAATTCAAATTCAACCGTTGCCCTTTCCCTTCCCTCTTTGTTAAGAACTTTCGAACGTTGTATTCCAATCTCTCTCCCACGCCCTTCTCTCTGTCGCAGCAGCACCAAAACCCGAAAAAACAAAGACAAAAAAAGAAAAAATCGGGTTGGATCCGATCGTTAAACCCCAATTCTTAAGGAGGATCTTAAGTCAATTCTAGCCAATAAGAGGAGGAGAGAGGTAAGTCAAAGCAATGATTGCTTAACTGCCCATAAGGGCACGGAAGGAATTAAAAAACATTGTCATTAATAATTAAAAGCAAAAATAGATATTTAATAATTAAAACGAAAAATAGGAAATTAATCCTACTTGACGGAGCAAAAACCATTTTCGAAGAGCTGTCTCCTCCGTGATATCCCCTTCCGGCCACGACTACAGTGTCTATCTCCGCCGCTTCTCTTCCGTTCGTAGCCGCTTCGGTGGTCCGCCGCAGAGACATGGAACATGTAGTTCCATTTGACTTTGGTACTGGGTTTCATTAAAAGTTTATACGGTTTTTGTTGGTATTTGGGTTTTTTATGTTGATTTTTTTGTCGTTGGGTTGGGTTTTCGTCGGTATTTGACGTCTCGTCGCAGATTGATCGGTGATAATATTAAAATCGTAATTTGTAAATGTTGATAAGGGATGGAAAAAAGTTGATATGTACTGGTAATAACGTGTACTAAGATTTTAATATAACGTCGATAATATTATTGATAAAGTTGATCATATTATTAATAACGCAATTCAAGAATGTTGATAGGTACATGGTAGGTCGGATAATTTGGTTGATCATGATTTTAATAACGTTGATTGGAAATATTAATAAGACACTTGTAAAAATTAATCTTTTGATGACGTTGATATTATTATTGAAAACGCATAGCGATGATTGTAAATATTAATAAGACACTCGTCTCGTCTCGCCTCCTTTCCTCGCAGTCATTGTCCATATGGCCATTTCCTTTCATTAGCGTCGCCAGCCGATACCATTGCGCTGCTTCGCCGGCATCGCGACGATAAAGCGATCCTCGTGGCCGGCCGACCGACTCCATGGACTTGACAAAGACCACAGATTGATTACTAATGGACACAGAAACGTTGAGAACGTCCAAAGAGTGATTAATAATACAAGTTAATTATATTATAACGAAACCATGTAAAAAGATTGAAATTGGCGACGAAAATTATTAATAATGGACCACTGTTGATTACTAATGATGGCGACGAAAATTATTAATTGTTATTATACCAAAATGAAACCGTGTAAAGAAATTGAAACGTTGACAACGACCACAATTCGCTTAATAGTGGAAAAATGATATAAGAAATGTTGACAATGGCGACGAAAATTATTACTAATGGAGACAGAAATGTTGATAACGAGTGTTTCCTTACTACCAAAGATTGATTAATTATGAATACGTAAACGTAGACAATGGCGACGAAAATTATTAATAATGGAAAAAATCGACAATTGTACCATTTCTAAATTATTACTAATGGACATCGAAACGTTGATAACTGGAAAAAAATGTTAATACCGAACACAGACTGATTAATAATGTAGCATTGAAATGTTTATACAGGCGGGGAAAACGTTTATAAAAACCCCTAAGCATCCATTAAACAAACTGACCAATATAATATAACATAAACAATAACGCAAAACCCTAAGCCCATACAACACGCTTTCATTATTAAGCGTATATTATGGTTGTAAGTTAGTTATCATTATTTTTAAGTAAGTTAGCCATATTATTAAAATTGTTGATAATGCGATGGAAAATATTAATAATGGAACAATAAACGTTAACAATGATAATATATTAATAATAGTACACGTTAATTCAACGATGAGGGAAGTAAAAGTGCATGTAAAAAAATGTTGATAATGACTGTGAAAATATTATTAATTGGCAAAGAAACATTAATAATAAACCCAGACTAATAATAGTACACGTTCATGATACAAATGATTAATAATAGTGCAAGTTTAAAAAATTGATAATGGCCGCTGAAAATAATAATATTAATGACAAAAAGCCCACAATAGGACACGTTAATCACACCATTGATTTAAAACATCCAGTAAAAAAATATTGATAACAACCTTAAAAATAATAATAATAATGGTGAAAGCAAAACCCCAAACTCATGCACACCAAACGAAAAACCTAATCTACGTACCTAAACAACATATTATAAGAAAATTGCCTTCTGAAACGAATCGGCCAGCCAAAGGTAAGCTACACCGGAAGGAAGTAAAGAGAGCGACTGTGGAGGCAGGCTACACCGGACGGGAGAGAATCCGGAGATAGGCTACGCCCGTCCGAAATACAGAAGACGTTGTTGACAGATGTCTCGGCCCGAACAAGGTAGTTGGTGTCGGCAAGAGATTGACGTACGTTGCGGCCGACGGCGAGAGCGGGGGAGCGCTGCCAAAGGAACCGACGCCACTACTGATTTATAGAAGTAGGTCGCCGCCGCTGTAGAGGACCGTACCGGAAGCAGAAACGCAGAGCGGAGAATCGTGACGGGAGCCGAAACGCCAGGCGGAGAACTTTGCTTGGCGGAAACATTCAGAGGAGAGAAACCGTTCGGCTCGGAGGAAGGAATAAGAGACGTGGGTTAGGGTTTTAAAAAGAAAGAGACGCATGTTTTAATTTAATTGTAGTCTCCTTAATACCCCTAACAACTATTTAACTAATAACTCCTTACTAACTGCCTAAATTTGAGTTAGCCAATCAGAAGGCTTTAAGTTCCTCCTTAAAAAAGATGCCTTAAGGACCTGAACTTAGGCCAGAAAAAATGGTTCTGAAATCATCGGCGGGAGATTCTCTTTCCTCACCGATCAAGATCACCGTCCCCTCCGGCGGTAATGCGACTGGAGGTTCAAGAAGGAGAAGCTCGACAGCAGCTTCATCGCCGGTACCATCTTCACCGGCGGGTTGAATTCCGTGACCAGGGGCCACGTCATTGACTTCTCTGCACCGGAGAATCAGCATCTACAGACGTCGAAATCCGGGCTGGTCTGCTGGATGAGGGGATGCGACGAGATTTGTCAAGACTGTTACTTGGACTGCGTGGGTTCTAATGGCGGCGGGAATTGCCCTGGGTGTAAAGAGCCTTACAAGGATCTTGACCGATACGAGGAGAAAGATTACGACGAATTCGACGAAGAAGATAGAGGAGGAAGATCAAGCTCTACCTCTGCCCAAATTGGACAAAAGGCTTTCATTGGTGAAGTCTATGAAGCGTATGAGCCACCCGCCTGAATTTGATCACACCAGATGGTTGTTCGAGACCCTTGACCAGAAAAGTCTATGTTTCGGTGAGAAGAGTATAAGACCCTTGACCAGAAAAGTCTATGTTTCTGCTGCGATTCTCGGTCTTTACAGGTACTAGATCAGGACCCGCCCGTTGGACGGATGTATTTCGTAAATAGCATAAATAACAATAACAATTATATTAAGCAATCTAAATTTATATTTGGAACCTTGAAAATCCAAATGATTGAATAAAAAAATAAGAAAGAAACATATATCATAGAGTTTTATGTTATCCTAACATATGAATTGACGAAAGTTCTTATTTAAAATAAATAACTAAATCTATTAAATGGAACTCACTTCTAAAAAACATAATTAAACCACACTTCGATTTACTTATTGATGTCAAAGACTACTCAAAATTTGTTTTTTGACTTCTTTTTGATCGCTCGTCATAAGCAACATTATCATCTCAACCTATAACATCGCATTTATCTTTATTAATGAAACCTATTTCCACCATCAATAATATCTTTCTTCTGCTCCCCTATTACATTCAAAGCAAAATTTTAAATTTCATCATATTTGATGAAATCATACTTATAAACTTCAAATGTCGGAATATCATCGCAAGCTTGGAGCATATTATTTGATTGAAACATGATTACCGATTTGTTTGAAATTGACATGTAATCTAATGTTGGTTTACTCGCTTTGAAGTTCTCAAAAGCACGCATACTATGTTATCTTGAAACAAATATTGTCAATCCTCGATAATATATTTGAGTATTTGCACCCAAATACCATTATCCTGAGAAAAAGTAACAATATTTATTATATTTCCAAATTTTAATCGTAGAGTCCAAATTCGTGTTGTTATTGTGAAATATTAGTTTGTCTTTCCTAGTCGATAATCATCATATGAAGATGAAGAATAGTATTTGTCTTGGAATCGATTGCGAGTAACTTTCCAGAAACATGACTGGAGATACAGCTCCCTTATTGAGTTATTCGATCAAATAAAATTTGGTTTTCACGTTGATGGTCCTTTAGTAGTGGGAATCTCATTGGAACATGAGAAATTTGTCACCATAAAAATAGGGGTGCTCGCGAACAATGCTAAGATATTCAAGATATTCTTGTATGCATACTAATAATTTATGGAAGAAAATGAGAGATAAGACCCATGACATAGATAATCCAAAAATACAAAATAACTAATAACTACTAATACTTACCATTTATTTTTTTATAAAAGCAAACCAGAGATATCCAATATACTATTTCCCAAGTCTTGGCTAAAAAATATACCCAAGTTGATTGTAAATAACTTCAATTTTTTAGGTTATAAAACAAAACAAAAAATGCATGTCTATCAACAATATTATCACACGGATGTTGCTTTCGAATATTATTGTGCTACAAAAACAATATCACAACGATTTCAGTTTTACTCTATCAAGTTACAAAAGTTATACTCAAATTTTACAGATTTCATACCATATTGGTGTAATTATGTATTATTATCGTAAAGGAATCTAAGACATGTCTGCAGCCATGTCTTTTAGAAGGATAATTTTTTATTTGAAACCATATCAAAACAAAAATCATTGTGTAAATCACATTAATTTAAATTTTTTATTAAAATATGTAACTTTGTAATTGAAATGAAAGAGATACATACCATTTGGTAACGATAGGTTAAAAAAAATAATGTATTGTACAAATTTCATACTATATTGGTGTGCTATGTATCATTGTAGTCAAGGAACCTAATACGTGGTTGTGATTAGGGATGAATATCGGTACGGTATCAGTATCCCAATACCAAATACCGAAATCCCGAATACCGAATTACACCCTAAAATCAATCCCAATCTCAATCCCTAAATAATTTCGGTATCCCAATCGGTACCTCGGTATCCCAATCAGTATTATCGAATACATAATTAATTATCTTTGCAATTAATAATTAAATATATAAATTAGATTTTATTGTTTAATTTAGGGCAAAGAGACTAAGCAAATAGTCTTGAGTTGCATAGAACTAACATCTCATGTTCTTGTAATTGGTAATCTTTAATTTGATGAATTTGAGGTTTAGAGACGACTAATACTAGTGTGAAATAGTGATGTAATGATCTATGTGTAATTAAATGACACTTTTGGTGGTTGAGGGTCGCTTAGTATTGAATGGGAGAGTCTAGTTGAGAGGATAAAATACACACTAGCTTATATTTCGGTATTGATCGGTATTTCGGTATATACCGATCCCCATCCGGTAATCCCTAATACCGAATAACAATTACAATTCAATCCTAATCCCAATCCCACAAAATAATACGTGTATTCGGTAATATCAAATATAGACAAATTCGGTACGATATTCGGTATATCCCAAATACCGGTACCAAACTTCCAGCCCTAGTTGTGATCATGAATTTAGAAGGATAATTTTTTAATTTAAATCATATTTGAATGATGTCATTGTGCAATATAATTTTTCTATGCAAAAATATGTAAATTTTAAATTAAAATGAGAATATACATATAATTTAGTAATGTTAGGGTATTTAAAATTAGGGAGATATAATGGGCTAGTGGAGACCTCTAATTAGATGTCTAAAAAATTGTAATAAAAATTATTATTCTTGTGACTTTTATTTTTTAAAAGATTTATTAAATAAAATGATATAATAATTAATTATGAGGATGGTGAGTGATAATAGTGTCTTTAGTTTGTCAAATTATTTAATAAAGAAAGAATTTGAGTTCAACTAAAATTACTCAGAGCTAATTAAAACTTGAGTTCAGGAAGCTTTTCTTTTGGTTGACGAAGCAAGCAAGGAAGGAATCTTGAAAAACATATGAAGAAGAGGTTGCGTACGGTAGAGAGAGAAACGGAGGCGTGGCGTACCTTTCACCGCCGGAGATCTCGAATGCAGCATACCGGTGCCGCCGGAGAAGAAGACTGTGAAGGCCACGGCAGCGGGGTGATCCATCGGCATCGACGGCCGGCGGCAGCTTTCCCAGGCGTAACGGCACTCGGATCGATCGCCAAAGTCCATTCTATCTTGATGGGGAAATTTTGGGAGGAAAGTCTTTGGGGAGAGCAAACAGCTTCAACTGCAAGTGGAAAAGAAGCGTCGCCCTCTGGTTCTCTCCCGTAGCAGCGAGGACGGCATCGACGGCGGCAAGAGGAAAGGATTCAGAGTTAAGGATCGAGGTTTTATCGGTGGATCGAGGTTTTGGTCGCCACTTTCTGCGCAGACCCTGATCTGTCTAAAGTTGCTTTCGCTTTTAAAGAATGAAAAGAGGTTTACTACTACATATCGATTCTGGAAGGAGAACCTGTATTGCTCTTTCTCTCGCCATCGTGCGCTCGAGCATTTTGCTGTCTACGCCATCGTGCGTCGCCGACCATGCCTTTCCCTCCATCCATCAAATTCTTTTCCAGTGGATTTTTCCTTTTTTGCAGGGGTTTCAAAAGGGTTGTGATCTGGATTCCTGCAGCGAGTAGTTCCGGCTGGCGGCGGTTCCATTTTTCTCTACAGTTACATTCCCACGATTCTATTCGTGGTCAGGCACGTTTCCCACCGCCCAAAGTCCCAATTATTTTTACTTATTTATCTATTTATTTCTTTTAATTTTAATCTCTTCTTCTTAAAATATTTATTCACCGAACAAACTCCTCATTGAATTGTATTGCTAGGGACTAGGGAGCAAGTGGAAGTAAGGCATATTGGTATTGTGTTTTGTCGAGTTGCGTAGTCTAACCTATGAATTTGTGGGAGGTAGCATTGGTTTCATTGGTTTCACAGGTTACCGGACCTTGGTTTGCAAGACGAATGATGTCAATCATGATCACGAACGGTGGCGCGGTGTTTGAAGAAGTGAAATTGCTCAATAACTCTTTTGCATTTGTATCTTTTGTGTTTGCTTTTTGTAGTACTAACAGGGCTGCCCATCGCGTGGCACAAACGGCCCTTGCATCGGTAGCAACCCATATGGTTGACTACCGCTCTTTCATTTCCACCGCATTGTAATACTCTATCTATTACGATCTATCTATGACAAAAAAAAAAAAAAACTTGAGTTCAACTTTTGGACGCCATGCTAACATTCACCTTTTTAGGGGTTATATGCGTAGTTTTTTATTATTATTTGTTAATTAACATGACAAATATCCTTCCTAAATTCTCTCTAAGAGCTAGAAAAGTTGAATTGAGTATGTTTTGATGGAGAACCTCCATAAATAAGTGGTAAGATCCTCGATTCACTCTCCTTGTCTCTCAACCAGAAATATTGATTCATTTCCTCAATTATTAGGTTTTCTTTTACTTCATTTCCTCTGTTTGCTCTCTCTGTATTTCAATGGATGCGACAATTTATTCTTCCTATCTACAATTGCAGCCTGCTCATTGTGTTCCGCCTGGCAGCACTCAGGTTGTTCCTCACATGGAGGGTCCGACATCCAAACCGCCACGCAATGTGGCTATGGGCGATGTCAGTAACTTGCGAGCTCTGGTTTGCACTCTCATGGATTCTGGACCAGCTATACAAGCTTTGCCTAGTCAACAGAGTTACTGATCTCTCCGTCCTCAAAGAAAGATTCGAGTCTCCGAATCTCAGGAACCCAAAAGGAAGGTCTGATCTCCCTGGAATCGAAGTCTTCGTCTCCATAGCCGACCCTGAAAAGGAATCACCTTTAGTCACTTCAAACACAATCCTTTCAATTCTAGCAGTCGACTACCCAGTCGAAAAGCTGGCATGCTATCTCTCGGATGATGGTGGATCCCTTTTAACCTTCGAAGCTTTAGCTGAGACTGCGAGCTTTGCCAGGACGTGGGTTCCATTCTGTAGAAAGCACAAGATTGAGCCGAGGAATCCTGAGGCATACTTTGGGCGTAAGCGGGATTTATTAAAGAACAAAGCGAGGCTTGATTTCGTGAGGGAGAGGAGGAGGGTGAAGAGGGAATATGATGAGTTTAAAGTGAGGATCAACTCATTGCCTGAGTCAATTAGGAGGCGATCAGATGCTTATAATGCCAATGAGGAGTTGAGGGCCAAGAAGAAGCAAATGGAAATTGGGGTTGGCAATTCAGTTGCTGATTCTGTGAAAGTGGCCAAGGCTACTTGGATGTTTGATGGGTCTCTCTGGCCTGGGACTTGGACTTCTGGAGAGGTTGACCATTCTAGAGGAGACCATGCTGGTATCATTCAGGTAATATGAAGAACAATTTTATACGTTTTCGATTAAAGATTGTTTGCTGGATCTTTTCATCTTTCATACTGAAATGCAATTTGTCCTTTGATTCTTTGAATGACACCAGGCTATGCTAGCTCCACCGAATGCAGAACCTGTTTTCGGGTCAGAAGCAGATGGAGAGAACTTGATAGACACGACAGAGTTCGACATCAGATTGTCGATGCTGGTCTACGTCTCCCGCGAGAAGAGGTCGGGTTATGATCAAAACAAGAAGGCAGGAGCCATGAATGCATTGGTGAGAACAAGTGCAATCATGTCCAATGGTCCATTCATCCTCAATCTCGACTGTGATCACTACGTCTACAACTCCTTAGCCCTACGAGAAGGCATGTGCTTCATGCTTGATCGAGGTGGGGACAAGATATGATATGTTTAGTTCCCACAAAGGTTTGAAGGGATCGATCCCAGCGATCGTTATGCGAATCACAACACAGTGTTCTTCGATGGCAGCATGAGAGCACTGGATGGGTTGCAAGGCCCAATGTATGTCGGAACAGGTTGCATTTTTAGGAAGATCGCTCTTTATAGGTTTTCTCCACCCAGGACTACTGAGCACCATGGATGGTTTGGGAGAAAGAAGATCAAGTTGTTGTCAAGGAAACCCAAGTCTTTGAGGAGGAAGAAGAAAGAAGAGGATGATGATGAGATTTCTCTGCGAATCAATGATGATGGGAATGATGATGGAGACGTTGAGTCATTGCTATTACCTAGAAGGTTTGGGAACTCAACCTCACTGACTTCATCCATTCTAGTGGCTGAATACCAAGGGAGGCTCCTTTAGGAATTGCAAGTGCATGGGAGACCAGTTGGTTCACTTGCTGTCCCAAGGGAGCCATTGGATACTGCCACTGTTGCAGAAGCAATCAGCGTGATCTCGTGTTTCTACGAGGACAAAACTGAGTGGGGAAAAAGAGTCAGGCTGGATCTATGGCTTGGTGACAGAAGATGTGGTGACAGGTTACAGAATGCGCAATAGAGGGTGGAGGTCAATCTACTGTGTGACGAAAAGGGATGCATTTAGAGGCACAACTCCAATCAACTTGACAGACAGGCTGCATCAGGTTCTTCGATGGGCAACCGGTTCGGTCGAAATTTCCTTCTCGAGGAACAATGCATTGTTTGCTTCACATAGAATGAAGTTCCTCCAGAGGGTTGCTTACTTCAATGCTGGAATGTACCCTTTCACGTCGTTCTTCCTCATAGTCTACTGTGTTATGCCAGCATTGTCACTCTTCTCTGGCCAGTTCATAGTGGCTTCCTTGAATGTCACATTCTTGATCTACTTACTAGCGATCACACTCACACTGTGCATGCTGGCACTCTTGGAGATCAAGTGGTCAGGGATTACACTCCATGATTAGTGGAGGAACGAGCAGTTTTGGCTGATCGGTGGAACGAGTGCTCATCCGGCAGCAGTTTTGCAAGGTATGCTGAAAGTGATTGCAGGTGTGGACATATCATTCACATTGACATCCAAATATTCTGCTGCTGAAGAAGGTGGGGAAGATGAGTTTGTCTAGCTGTACGTGGTGAAATGGAGCTTTCTGATGATGCCTCCAATTACTATCATGATGTTGAACATGATTGGGATTGCAGTTGGGGTGGCTAGGACTATGTACAGTCCATTCCCGCAGTGGAGCAGGCTGGTTGGTGGAGTGTTCTTCAGCTTCTGGGTTTTGTCGCATCTCTACCCTTTTGCCAAAGGGTTGATGGGTAGAAGGGGTAAAATTCCAACCATTATCTATGTTTGGTCTGGTTTGCTGTCTATCATCATCTCTTTGTTGTGGGTTTATATCTGTCCTCCTTCTGGTGGTGCTCACCAGGATTTCGATAGTTCCTCGTTTCAGTTTCCTTGATCTGTTGAAACACTAGAATGGAAAGCAGATGTAGTTTTGAGTAAAAGCAAAGGGAACCAGCTAGCTCTACAGAAGGGAAAACATGATGCTTTATAGACAGGGGCGCAACAACAACATCATTTCCATTCTCCACCTATTGTATCCATCCAACTTATCAGCTCTTTTCGATGAGTAAATTGATATTGGATGATAGTAATGACAATTTAGATTGCTGAGCAGCAGCTTACAGTGCAATGACAAGCTTCTATCAGTGTTCAATTTCTAGTGTTTTCTCTGCATTATGTTCTCTAGGTTAGGGCGCATTGGCATCCTCAATGTTCAAAATATGGATTAGACAAGGCGAATTCTTTTCCAATGTATCACCCAAAAACTAAAAACATTCAAAAGCACTACTATTTCCAGATAAAAAAACATCCATACCACAGTTTCACAAGGCGAATTCCTTGAAATAGTGGTATTTCCTCGTCTCGAGATTCGGTTCCACCTTCTATTCCGTTTAATGCTATTCGTGTGCAGTTTGATGGCGCTACTAAAATTCGGATGGGTGGAGCAATGGGATTTGTGCACTTTGTAGGCGAAAATGTTATATCCTTTGCTTTCGGTAGTTAATATCATCTCATATTTGATCCTTTTCTTGCAGAACTCTTGGCTCTTCGTGATGCAATTCGTTTTGCTTGTCTCATTCCTACACTAATGTTTTGTTTTGTGGTGATGCGCCGGTTGTCATACGGTTGGAGGGACTCGTTGCACGCGATGGGCGGAGCTATCCTACAGGAAGTTCAGGTTCTACGATCATCGTTTCAGCGTGCAACGTTTCACTTCGTGCTTAGGTGGTGTAATGGGGTTGCCCACTCCATGGCAAAAAAGGCCCTTGTATCGTTAGATCGTACACTTATCATCGAACAACATTTTTTTCTTAACTCCTTTTTGTGATTTGACTTGAAAAGATTTAGTATATTCTCGAAACTATACTGTTTCCCTCTAGAAATACTAATGAAAAAGGGGTAAATACCACATTTGGTCAGTAAGATTACTAAATCATGTCATGTTTAGTCACTAGAAAAAAATTAATATCAATTTTTGTCACTGGAGTTACTGAAACATGTCACATTTTGTCACTCTTCTGTTAGTTTCTGTCCAACTCCATCAGCGGAGTTGAACGGAGGCTAACGGAGAGTGACTAAATGTGACATGGTTCAGTAACCCGAGTGACATTCATAAAAAAAAGGTAATTCGAGTGACCGGAGGTAGACAGAAGCTAACATGACAGTGACTAAATGTGACCTTACCTGTTTAAGTAATTCGAGTGATCAAAATTAATATTAAGTTTTTCTAGAGACTAAATATAACATTATTTAATAATCTCAGTGACTAAATGTAGTATTTAAAAAGATGACAAAATGGGATAGGGCTGGGCATGCGGGCGGATCATCCGCGGGTTTGGGCCGACCCACCCACATTTGACCCGAATTTCGTTAAATGGGTGGGTCTGTGGGTGGGTGACGGGTTGCGCTGGGAGCCATCCGCCGGGTGGTGGGTGGATTGTGGGTGAGTGTGCGGGTGACCCGCTCAACCCAACAGCAAAAAGATCAAAGTCGTTGGCGCTAGAGAGAGGAGAGTGGAGACGTTAGATATAAACTCGGACTGCTCCTGGAGTTTGAACCTCAAAGTCAACCTTCCAAATAGAGATCCCCTCTTCTTCCCTTTACTTTTTCCTCTAATTCTTGTGCCTAGATCACTGCTCTTTCCTTTGTGGAATTATTTTCCTTAGTTTCTTGCACCTAATAATCGTCTCAATCTGTAGAAAACTCTTTCATAATAGAATTTCTATCCAATTTAAGAACTAATTTGACATTTTTCGCCCTATTTCAACTTCGTGTTTCCCTCGATGATTCTCTTCACCTATTATCATGTCAAGTTGACACATTTATATTATATACATTGTGATGTGGGTGAACCCACAAACCCACCCGCATCATCCACCATCCACCCGACCCAACCCGAGACTAAATGTGGGTGGGTGGTGGGTTAAAAATTATCAATCCGTTTAAGCGCGGGTGGGTGTATTTTATGGTCAAAATCCACCCGACCCACCCAATGCCCACCCCTAAAATGGGAAGTTACATTTGGGCCAAGGTGTAAATATGGCAGAATTTTGAATTCACGTGGGGACATCGTGCAAATACGCATAAAACGGAGGGACCAAGACTGCAAATATGCGTAAAATATTTCAAATTCAATCGTGTGCGACTAATCTCATTGAACACAGGATTAGAACTCCAAGATCAAGCCGTTAAAATCATAATTTGGCTACGTGTACGGTTATTTAGAGCCTTTCTTCCCAGGATCCGATAATAAAAAAGGAAAATAACAGAATTCAGAAATTGGAAAAAACGAGGCTAAAGCCACCTAATTGGCTAAGCCACTTCTTTATATTCAAGTTTCGCGGCAACGCCTGTTTACTTTAACTTTCTCTCTCTAACCAGCGCCTCCTTCACTCTCTCTCTCAGATAAACCCTTTTCGTCCCCTCTTTCCCGGTCTCCCCTTCTCGTGAAATTCTTTCCTCCTGCTAACCAAAGAACACTGTGAACTTGAGCCCTGATCTTCTTTTTGGTGGGAATCGGCGAATTCTTTTGCTGTGGATCTACTATTTCGGCTGTAAAGAGTGGCAAATTCTGAGGGTTTTTGCGAGGGTTTCTGGAGGTACATTTACTGAATTCAAACTTGAGCCTTTGTCTTTTCGGACAATATATATTCATCTCAGCTGGTGCATGGTTTTAGGTTTCCACTTGCTGTGTCTCTTTTGTTGAAAGCCAGCCGCTTGTTTGGGATTGTACTAGATGTATTTTTCTCGCTTTAAATTTCAAATTCTCTTTCTGTTTTCTGGACGGTTGGAGGCGGCAGCTCTTTCTGGGTTCCTTTTTTTGGGGTGGTTTTTAGGGATTATTGAACATTTTTGGGATTCTTCCCGCAGCAGTTCTTGGACTATTGCGCGGGTTTTTAAAACCCCTTTTGAATTGTCCGAGTTTATCGTCTGTGAAACTTTTGAAGGCTGGGGGATAAGTTGGGGTTTTGTGATTAGATAATTTGCGAGCATTTGACAAGAATTGCTTCTGAAGGGAAGAAGGAATTTTCATTATCTTCTATTTGCCTTCGGCTATTGAGCTATGTGTAGTATTATGGAAATAATACTGAAGTTCTTTTGTTGTTGTCCAATTATTACTTCTGTACATACATTTCAGATCGTCTAGCCAGGGGATCTCTCTGGGTTATGTTGAATTGCTATATGAAAAGGTAACCCGTTGATTGTTCGTCATGAAGCCGAATTCCCAGTTCTATAATGAGGCATGCCGCTAAGTTTACTTGAACGTGTTCCAGGAAATCAACATACAATGCCACCGAGTAGGAAAAAAAGTGTCAACAAGCAATTTCCTACGGACGTCTCTCCTCAGAAAAAGGCCAGGAACTGGGGAAAAAATGTGGAGCAAGTGACTGCAGTGGTAGGTATTTTCTCATGTGTGCAGGTCTCGCTTGTAATCTTGTACCTATAGTGGGTTGGAGTGTTTTGCTTATGTATGCTGCTGCTGTTCGGAGTAACGGTTTGAATTACCTTTTCACGTTTTAGGAAAGTTTGTTGATATGTTTAGCTAATTTGATATCTAGCTGAGCAGACAGATAGGCAATGTAGTTTCCTCTTTGGATATCTTTCTCTAGGAAAGTTGCAGTTTTTCTTCTTCTGTTCTCTTGATAATTACTATAAAAACATACCAAATTGTGTCGTTTATGTTGGGCTGTTCTGTTTTCACCAGAAGAGGAAGTCTTCCTATAAGTTGGGGCCACCCTGGCATGAAAATGAGATACAGAAGTTCTACAAAGCATATCGCAAGCATGGGAAGGACTGGAAAAGGGTACATGCTTCTAACCCGTTAAATTCTCATTACCCAGAATTCTTTATAGTACTCTGTTTTCACATTTGATTTTCCTCTGCGTTATTCTTATTTATTTTCAGGTCACTGCTGAAGTCGGTACTCGATCTTTGGAAATGGTGGAGGCTCTTTACAAGTTACATCGGGTACATAGATTGCTTTATTGGTATTTTATCGTTGACTTTATACTTGAGAATTTTCCATCTCTGAAGTTGTGAGAATCTTTGTGAACTGACTAATTGGAATTACAGCTTGCTTGATGAGTGGTTTACTATCTGAACTGGGTTTCTAGATCTGTTATGCTGTTTCTCATTCCACTTCATTGAAGATAGAACTGATTTAAGGCTTGAAAATCAGAAAGTTTTTTTATTATGATGGAGAAACATATATCTCCATTGAAATTTCTTTGGCGTCCAAATTCATCATTGTTGTCAGTGAGAGTCAGGATGCAGTTAGAGGTGATGCTAACTGATTCAGTCCTATGGAAGAATCTAAATTTCGAGAGGGATTGGTCTGGTCATGTCATTTAAAAAAAAAGGCTGGTTCTTGGTACTAAGGTTTGACTTAATGGTTCCAAACTTATCACATATTTCCATGAAAAATTGTGAAGGGTGCATAAATTAATATTAACTGATGAGTTTGCATGCTACTGTTTCATTTTGAATGAATGCCTATCTTCTGTTTGCTTTACATGGCATGGGAAATCATTATGTTTTGTATTATCTAGGCATACCTATCACTTCCTGAAGGAACAGCTTCCGTGCATGGCCTTATAGCAATGGTGTCTGATCATTACAGTGTTCTTCAGGTACATATCTAGTTCAGCTATTCACAGTCAAAAGCTTCTGCTACTTGATGAATTCTTCTTCTCTTCTCTATGATTCATAGATGGCGTAAGGCTGGTTCTGCATACCGTGTTATCTATAGTGAAAGTATTCTGTGCTTGATACTGGTGCATAAAAGCTGTTATATGTGCTCCTGTGATTATAACAAATGGGAGCTTAACCTGTGATAGCTTCAGCATTAACTGACTTGCCTACCATCTGAGGTTTACTCTCCTCATATAATTCTGATGGTGTTGTTGCATTTTTCCTCATGTTTAGCATTAGAAAGGACTGGCATAAAGCAACAGATGTTCAGATCCCACTGTACTAGTCGATATGTTTCATCCAATGTAATGAGACGAGTTTTGCATAAGCTAGGTTCGTGTGGATAGTGGATTTAAAATAGTTTGAACGAAAAACATTCAAGAATGTTTGAAGAACTAGGATACAGAAGTTTAGAGTTTGCTTTTGTTGAAAGTGTACATTTACATGCTTGACGCATAATGTTGATTCACAAATATTTGCTGTTGGTGACATAATAAAGGATGTTATTATTTCTTGTCATCCATGTAGGCATCAAGTGGTAGTGAAAGAGAGGACAATGGTGTTCCACAGATGTCCCACAAATCTCTCAAACGCAAGAGAGCGAAAGTTCCGCTTAGTGAGCAAACAGAGCTGCCTCTTGATGGATGCATGTCTCTTTTGAAGAGAGTGCGTTTACTTGGTATGCAGTTTAACTCTTGATTATTGGGGACTTGTTATTTATTTTTAAGGCTGGTGGGTGTTCATCCTATTGTTCCAATTAACTCCTTTACCGGTAGGGGGTTTGAAATTGATTGCGTGGAATTTCTAAAAGCTACTTTGGACCATTGTGCCATATTTTCTTTTTTACTTTCCCTGTTAAGTTCTTACATGCTTTGGATAATTACCCGTGATGACTTCGGTCCCGTTTGACTTTGGCTGACAATAAATTGAGCTGCATTTGTCATCATTATTATTTTCTGATAGCTTATGGCCATAAACATGACTTGAACTGAATTCTTGTTAGCATAGGTATGGTGGACGGCGATGCCTTTGTGATCCACGAATTCTTTCTGTACCACAATATATTCATCTTCAAAACGATGAATTCAATCAACTATGTTGCTAATACTAGGATTAGCTAGTAACATACATGTGAAAAAGCTAATTCTTATAAACCGACTAGCTATTCAATGCTGTGCCATGCAAGGGAGTTTAAGGAGTAAATGACTTAAGAATTGTAGTCTAATTGAAGCTTGAGTTAGTTCTGATGGTCTTATTCTCGTCTTAGGTGGTCATCCTCGTGCAGTTGGGAAAAGGACGCCTCGTTTCCCTGTTTCATACAACAAAGACAATGGGATAAATTATGCTTTTCAGCGCAATAGGAGGTTAGATGCTGATTCCAAGGAAGAAGAGGTAGCACATGTTGCTGCCTTGGTATTAACTGAGACATCACGTAGAGGAGGCTCTCAAGTTTCCCAGGCATCCTGTGTCAGAATTGAGCAGGGCACTTCATCATTTGTTAAAAGCAAAGATAAGAAGGTATTTGATCATGGCACCCTCTTCCTTTTCCTTGAACAGAATGTGACGGACTTGGGATTCTAACATTATCAGTTTTTTTATTCTATCAGCTTTCATTAGTCTGCTGTAACAGAATATGTACATCCTCAATTTGTTTGTGCAGGCAGAGTCAGCTCTAGAAAAACTTTATGATGTTTCCATACATGATGGTCGGATACCAGGGGCTAGAAGTAAGGGTATTAGGAACGTTGAGTATGATGGAAATGTAGGCTCGATTGAAAGAAAAGAAAAAAAGAGTCGTGGAAAGAAAATGAAAGTTGGAGTGATTGGCCATCTTAAGGTTGATGGTGTGCAAGCTTCTGGGGGCACGGAAGAAGGTCAAGAATTAAGTGGTTTGAGCAGAAAAGTTGATGCAAAGGTTTCAAATGGAAAGCTTAAGGTGACATCTCCTCAAGGCGTAAAGAGAAGAAGCAAGAAATTATTTTCTGGAGGTAAGGTTGAAGCCGTCCTTACATGAAATGTTCAGACGCTGACTGTCACATTATGGCCATGCTTACATGAAATTACTGTCTGATTATGTATTTATGTGTGTTCTTTTACGTTATTAATTCATTAAATGGTCTTGAAGAATTCTGATTTTTCACATTTTGGTTTTGGTATAGTAACTCAAACAATATCTTCTTTTAACAATACTTTTCTCATTGTCAGACGAATTTTCTGCTCTGGATGCGTTGCAGACATTGGCTAATCTCTCTGTGATGGAATCTGGTAAGTATTGAAGACTACCGAGTATAGTACTTCTGTTTAAGAAGGTTTCTAGCATATTAAGTCTGTGGCTAGTCTACTATGTCTAAAAATCAAGTTACATAAACTTTTTCATAATAGAACTTATTGATCAATTTGCCACCATTTTACCAATATTCCTTAAGCTCCATATTAATTGTGGATTCAATATAAAAAGAAGAGTTGGCTAGTTAGTACCGGACAGACACCATCCCCAATGTTATTTATAGAGAGTAAAGACATAAGTATGGTTCTATATTTCAAAAGTAGCAATCATTTTGTGTGATTGTTTGTTCTATTCAACGCCAGTTTGTTACTTTGGATGCATGCAAATTTTCTCTCCAGGGTCACATTCATGTCAAATTAGATCCCTGCCTTGTAGGGAGGACTGAATTCTAATCATTTATGGAGCTGATAGTATGTTCATGCATCTGTTGCTATATTTCCCATCACTGTGCAATTGATGTGTTCTGTGCACTGATTCTGGCTTTTCTATTTTTATTTGTGTTGGTCTAGAGTCTTCTGCCCAAGTGAAGGAAGAAACAAGTACAGTCGATTTGGGGAGTATATCTGTCGACCAGAATAGAGACATAACTGAAGTCTCATCCATGAAGGAAAAAGTACGTGATACAGTCATTGGAGTTGAAGCTGCCACCTCCAGGAAGCCAAAGTCCAGAAGAGTCTCAGAAACTGATGGTAGACATGCGAGTGAAGCCAACCAGCCAAATGATTCCTTGAATGATAATACCCTAAAAAGGAGACGTCCATCTTTGGTGTCAAGAGTAAGCATATTAGAACTTCTCTTCTATGCATTCAGCAAATCCTGTTACAATACTAAAAAAAACGCCTGTAATTTTGTTTGAGCTTTTATCTTGTTTCATTAGATAGTGTCGCTTTACCATCTGGTTCAGTAGCTAATTTTCGATGACTTTTTTAGTCTCAGGCACCAAGTGTTGAAGCTGACGCAAATCCTACTCTTAGTGATTTACTGAAGACCAAGGTACACTACTCTGTCTTTCCCTCATTGCACCAAGCCTTTGTCCTTTACCCTTCTATCTTGGGAAGCGGCAATTTATAATATATTGATAACCTTCAGTAAAAATAGTACTCTTGGTTGCTTAAGAAATGATAATAACCTCTTAAAATATTCTGTTGTCATATTAAATCTTGTTCCGGTTTCCTGAGTGCTAGTCAAGAGGTTTCTTTGACAATCCCATAATTTTTCCTATTTTACTTTTTGATTGATATAGGACTTGCCTGGAGAAGAGATCTTTCCTGATAAAGAGAAACAAACCAGTGAAGTGTGTGATCCTTCTGGACTACTGAAAAAATCTGGTTCAGGTTACAATGGTGATCAGGCCAATGAACCAAGTGGTCCATCAGCGTCAGCTGAACATGTTGTAAACAGACAAACTAGTTTACCAATGCCATCAAGAAAAACTAGACGCAAGAGATCCCCTAATAATATAGTGGGTGAGAAGAGTGAAGCTATTGTCTGCTCCTTGCCATTGCAAGGGGGAGCATCTCATCCAAAGGTACATTGCATCAAGGCTTTGGTATTTGGTTAAATTGAAACCAACTTTCACATTTTTTGTCAACTGATACCGTGTTATTTAGTTTTGTTTGTTGATTTTAGAAAATCTTAGTTTTTGTTCCGGTTCACAAAAAACAGACCCATATCATCAAAATATGTTGAAGCATGAAGGGCCCCTCACTTATTATGGAATTTTCTGGAACTTACCTTCTTACTTGAAATTTAGTGTAATTTACTTGATTTATTGCTGGAATTTATTAATTTGAGGTTTTTTGGTTTTATTCTTAAAGTTCTGCAATTGATTCTTTAATTTTTGTTGGATTTGTTTAATTCGGGTTTAGAACTCAAGCAATCTATTCTATTTGTTGTGAATGTTGTGATAATTTTGGTTCGTTATTCTGCTTCGCAGTGCTGCAAATAAAGTTCGGTTGAGATTTTGATCAACCGAAGTTCAATTTGGTTTAGGTTTCATAAAACCAAGCCCCACCCTAGCATATTACTTATGTTCTTTCCTTTTTTTCTTCTCTTTTTTGCAGGAAGACGTTTCTTCTTGTCTTTCTTCTCCTTTTATTCGTAGATGGTGTACATTTGAATGGTTCTACAGTGCCATTGACTACCCTTGGTTTGCCAAACGGGAGTTTGTCGAATACTTGAATCATGTTGGGCTTGGCCACATTCCTACTCTAACTCGTGTTGAATGGGGTGTCATAAGAAGGTACGTCCACTTCTCATAAGAATATATCTTCCTCTGCTACATTTATGAGTGAGATCAATTTCTTAAGCTGTATGGTTCATTACAGTTCCCTTGGAAAACCCCGGAGGTTTTCTGAGCATTTTCTCCATGAAGAAAGGAGCAAACTTCAACAATACCGTGAGTCTGTGAGGAAACATTACAGTGAGCTCCGTGCCGGTGTCAGGAGTGGACTTCCAACAGATCTAGCAAAACCCTTGTGTGTTGGACAGCGTGTAATTGCTATTCATCCACGGACAAGGGAACTCCATAATGGAAGAGTGCTAACAGTTGATCATGAAGAATGCCTGGTGCAGTTTGACAATTCTAAGATTGGAGTTCAAGTTATCAAGGTAGTTTCAGTCTGATAAATAGAGAATAATTTTGATTTTCATGAAATCTATGTAGTAGGCTCATATGTGAAGAAAATTGTTCCATATATTTCATATTTGTTTGGGTAGTTAACTAACTAGAGGTCTTCAAGTATTCACTTTTGTGTCAAATAATGATTTTTTTTTAATAAGTATCAAATAATGATTTGAAGTACTCGTTTTCCAGGATATGGACTGCATGCCATCCAACCCAATGGAAAACATGCCAGAGGCTCTCAAATGGCAGAAGTACTTCGATGCTAGGAAGCTTAACTCACTCGGGTCAGTGGAGAGTGTGCCTACTCCCATAAATACCAGAATAAAGCAAGCTCAGGTGAGGATTATTCATGTTTGGAAGATTGCAACTTTTTTGGTTTATGTATAATTCAAAACGTAGTTTAATCAGTGTTCATTAAACCGTACCGTACCGGCGGTTCAACCACGAAATACCAGTATCGGAGGCTAAACCGATATGCGGTATTTACCGGTATAACGGTTGAACTACAGTTAAACCACGGTTTTACCATAAAATACCCTACCGCTGACTTTTCCGATACGGTCTCCGGTACTGTTTCATGGACCATGAGTTTAATATTTAGTTAAAACTTCATAGCCGGTGCAACAACTTGGTTCACACTTCACACCAAACCAAATCATTTTTTTATGGAATTAGACCATACCCTTATATATATCTATTCGGTTTCTAAATTTTGTGACTTCTTTTCTGTTTTTGTCAATGGCATTTTTTAAAACAAATTAGAAAAGACCGATTCTGATCAATGACATATTTTCTCCGATTATAGTTGTCAACTTTCCTTTTTATGTTTGATCCAATCTGATGCCGATTCAGGCCGATTTTCGAGCAGACCGAACCATGCACACCTCAGTTCAGTCGGGAACTGGGCTTCATAGTTTTAGAGTTATACTGCTCTTTATGAAATTCGAGAGCTGAAGTATTAATGCCTGATATTTTGCTTCTGTTTACTCTAAAAGGCTACAGAGCGTACTACTTCACAACTTATGGCATTAGGTATTCAAGCTTTCGATGCCCAAAATGTTACTCCTGGTCAATTTTCGGCAACGTCAGCTCTTGATCTGACTCATTCACTCAATAGAAAGGTACTTTGTGCTCTTAATTATTATTACATCATATATGCATACTGGTAATGTCCCGAAAGTAAGATTTTGCTTCGAACTTCAACCTCTAAATCCATTTGCTCCATGCAATAAATACTCAGCAAGGAAACCAGATGCACCTCCCTTGGTTTGCTTCCTCGGCCCATTCCAATTCTTATCACAGTTCGTTTGCTTCCCAAGATACGGGATCTGCTGCAGCAGCTGAAATCGTCAACAGCTCAAGACAAAGAGCTCACAAGATGCTTGATGCTGCTCTTCAGGTTTATCTCTGCCTTTCTCTTGGCTTTGCGTGTGTACCACACAACCGATGTGCTGAATCCTAACTACCTATTCATTCTAGGCATTCTCATCGAAGAAAGAAGGGGAGGATGTTTTTACTGGGATCAAGGAGGCTTTAGATAAGATGGACAACAACGGGCGAGGAGTTACATCGTCGATGCAGAAATCATCAGAGTCCCAAGCGAACCTCTCATCCTCCCTAGTCACATCCCCATCAGAGCTCATGACTTCATGCGTCGCCACTTTGCTCATGATCAAGGTACAAACCTTCACTCTATTTGTCTAAACCAAACTCCACCAGGTATCCCTTTTCGATCATTGATCCTGACAATTTGGTGTATCTTGTTCGAAGATGTGTACCGAACGACAGTATCCTCCTGCAGATGTGGCTCAGATAATAGATTCTGCAGTCACCAACTTGCAGCCTTGTTGTTCGCAGAACCTCCCGATATACCGAGAGATACAGACGTGCATGGGAAGAATCAAGACGCAAATATTAGCTCTGGTGCCAACATGAACATAAGACGTCATCATGCTCACTATACATGTCTTTTTGCCTGTATCGGTTTAGATTTGCTTCTCTGCCATTGTAGATATATATGATGGGGCGGAGTTTCTTCATTTTAGGTAGGAGATCACATATAACTAGATAATCGTAATAGTCAAGTTTTTGCATCCTCCCTTTTCTGCCGCTAGTTTTAGAAGCTGGGAGTTTGCTCTATCAGCTGGGTCGAAGGAGCAAACTAGAAGAAGTTCTTGTGAACTCGTGAAATGGAGCCATGTTTTAGTTCTTACATATGTGATTATTTTAACTTTGACTATTATTGGCGGCTAATCTCGTCGTTAATCTAACTAGTTAATGACCGTGAAATCCACGTGGATGGATCAAAATTCTTGAATTTCAATAAATATAAGTGGTTTCATCGGTTCACGAAAATGAATACATACTACACGCTTGATTCGAAAACTAGCCTTAAAACATCATATCTTAAATTTTAATTGATAGTAATGTCTAATATGATGATATATTGTAGAATCACCAATGAATTATTCTAAGCCACAAATCTTCAATTTTGAACCCATAAAAATCAAAATTGTAAACCATAAAGCCTAACCCCAATTTCCTAAACTTTTGAACCCATAAAAATCAAAATTGTAAACCATAAAGCCTAACCCCAATTTCCTAAACCATGAATCTTTCAAATTAAAATAAATCTTGAATGATTATTGTGCAAATTCATATGGTTAGTGTCTATCATAATTCATATCACAAGTGACGATTGACATCGTTGCCATTAATCGTCTGGGCAGAATGACGATTAAGAGGCGAGTGCATTTAATACACCCAAATAAGTGAGTGTGTCGAAGATAAAACTATATGTATATAGTTTTGTCTTCGGTGCACTCATTTTTGGGTTCATTCAATGCACTCTCTCATAATTGTCATTATGAGAAGGCTTCATGTCAAAACGAAGTCAATCTTCAATTATTATATGATGGACAAGAAAACACATGAATTTGCACAAAAATTATACCAAATTTACTTTGATTTGAAGGTTTTAATGTTTAGGGATTTAGGGTTAGGGTTTGTAATTTGGGATTTAAAGTTAGTGTTTAAAATTGAAGGTTCAGGGGTTAGGGTAATGGATTGAGTAGCTGTGATCTTATATTATATCATCGTATCAAACGAATGCTACCAATTAAAATCCAAAAATTTATCTCTTAAAGCTACTTTTAGAGTTGAGTGCATTATAGGCACAAAGGCACTCATTTTTGTGAGTGCATCGAAGAAGTCACCATATTTATATGTATATGGTTTTGTCTTCAACGCACTCACCTTTTTTGGTGCATTTAACGCACTTGCTTCATAATCGTCATTATGAGAAAGCGATCCATGTCAAAACGACGTTAGTCGTCACTTATATTATGATAGAAAAGAAAATACATAAATTTGCACGAAAATCATTCAAGATTTACTTTGATTTGAAGGTTCTTTAGTTTAGAGATTTAGAGTTAGGGTTTAGGGTATATAATATGGGATTTTTTGTTTGGGTTCAAAATTGAAGGTTTAGGGGTTAGGGTAAGGGGTTGATTAATTGTGATCATATGTTATATCATCATATCAGTCAATGCTACCAATATAAATTAAAAATTCGAAGTCTTAGAGTTGAGTGCAAAAAAAAAAACCCCACCATATGTGTATATATATAGTTTTGCCTTCGGTGCACTCACTTTTTTTAGTGCATTGCACCTCCATGTATTCTCAATTAGCGATTCACTGTGATGAGTCTTCTTCGAATGGCTTCCAGGAGGCGGCTATGGTAATGCTTTGATCATGCCATGGGTTTGTTTGTGTCGGACGAGCTGGCTCTGCTTTATGCTTCTTCGACTGTGGCGGCTACGAGAGGAAGTTTGGATGCTTTTGTTTGGATGATGCTTTGGCTCCCCTCCATTTGAGGCCTGTCTCTGCTTTTTGCTCCGTTAATGTTTGTCTTCTCTTGTAGGGTATGCCTTATGAGTGTTTGGGTTCTTGGGGTTTTTATCTCTTCTTGTATTCTTCTTCCTCTGTAACCAGTGGCGGATACATGCATGTCTAGGAGTGTCCCGGGACATCCTAAAATTTGGAAACATGACTATTCAACATCCGATAGTATTTTGTATATGAGAAAAAAATGTTAAGTGGTAGTGGGACACCCTTAAAATTTGGGAAAACGATTATCCAACCTCCCGTAGTAGTTTGCTTATTGGTACAAATAATATGTTAGTAGTAGTTTATGTGATTTAACTTGAGACACTGCCACTATTAGTAAACATATTTACATTTACACTACAACTCATTTGTTATTGTGTTTTAGATCCAAATATAATAGTAAAATGTTATTCTTATCCCAAATTATTTTTAAAACCTAACGATTAAACCAATTACGGGATACCCTTTTCTAGTAGGATATGTCGAGAGACCTTTGTTGAGCAGTATAGACACCAAATATATTTTACCATTTTACGAAACATGTCTGAACTTTTAATGTAACTTTTATTGGTAAGATATTTTCATATTTAACAATTATTTAATTTAATTTTAATATTTAATTAAACTTAATTTTTGAAAGAGGACACCTCTATGAAGAATTTCTGGATCCGCCATTGTCTGTAACCACTACATTCGATTTGCAATATGAGCTGCCTTTTCGTCAAAAACGCACTTGCCTTATAATCGTCCTTCTGAGTAGTCAATTTATGTGAAAACAATATCAATCACGTGTGATATGATGGACAAGAAACCCCATGAATTAAAAAAAAAATCCAAGATTTACTTTCATTGCAGAGATTTAGAAAAATGCAAAGACAAAATTTCTCGTTTGGGAATGACGAGATCTATTAACAAAAATATTTGCATAGATTCACTAGTTGCCCACATCTCTTATTACAACCCACCACTAAGTTCTCCAATGCACTCAAATTGCCAATTTTAGCCTCATAAACTTCACTTCCGCTAGAGCTTTAAAGATTGTTCTTTTTTTACTTATGAGGCAAAAATAAGCATCACCATGGGCTATAAAGGCTTGGGGAAACAGGGAGGGGATGGTAAAAATTGAATACTCGCAATTTACATATTCTTTTCTGGCTCTTTGAATTTTCTCTATCCTAAGAATTAAGGGGAAAGAAAGACCACTGAAAAAAGATCGAAAATCAACGAGTTCTGGTGTTCTTCCATTTTCTTCTTCTTCTTCTTCATCATTCCAACCAAAGCTTTTAGCCGAGCAAGAACCTGAATACGTCACTTAGCGAGATGATCCCTTCAACTCGCTTGCTTCCAGCCTCCACTATCAATAGTCTCCTAATCCCTGGACGAGAGAGCAATCAAGCAATCAAATCATATTTCATGAAACCAATCAAAACTCTATCTTAGGAACTTCTCCATCCAAGCAACTGTTAGGTACAAATTGGGATTACCAGGACTTGCTAATCGCTCCATCACTTTGTGAAGTGGATCGGATCTCAAACACATGTGACATCGCTGTCCATTGTAAGGGGAATTTGCATCTTGTCCCAACTGCAATGCCTAACACACGAGAAGAAAGCGTGCTCGGCATGTTAGTCATACATCATGTAAATTGGCATGGTGGCTTGAGCTTGACCATTCAGATTTGACCCAATTAATCTATCCATGAACCTCAGTTTATGTCACAAGCAATCCCAACTGATCCATAAGAGAAAATAATAAACTCTTATCCATCTTATTGTGTTTAGGTCAGGTTCTATTACGGGTTACATGAAATCGAGAAATGATAAAAGTAGCACTGTCAAAGAAAGTATAACAATGCTAAATCACCTTCATCTTGATGGATTATTAAGTGTGGGAGGTCATAGATATAAATAATGAGCTATAGGTGTTTGGTTTTGTTCGGATTTATCGCCACCCTCACCCATCCATCCAAGAAGTTTTGATTGTTTGGCTGGTTTCAGGTGTGCTGTGCTGAGTTTAGTCAGTTTGTTCAACCCCTATATTCAGGTGTGACCTAGTGTAATATTCAAACTGACGTTAATGTGAGTCACCAAACAAGTTCGACATTAAGAAGGTCTACCTGATGGATGCTTATTTCGTCTAGATGAATCTGTGCATATGCTTTATCTTTTGCCAGAGCAGTGATATCGCTGTCAAGTAAGAAAAAAGATGTCACAGATTGCTGCATTCAAAGTGTCAAAACCACAGCAGAAGGATGAGAATTAAGTACAAACCTCCGAGAATAAATGTCCAGAAGTGAATCGTTCTCATCTACAATAGGAATCGAACTGACATCAGCTGCAAAGAAAAAAAGCATCAGCCAAGATCCAGATGAGTTTAGTTATAACAAATTCAAATGGTAAAGAGCAAATTGAGCATGGACACGATCACTAGAAAGAAATCAATAAAATTGTCTCAAACAATGTTGTCCAAATCCAAATTTTGGAGCTTTAGATTAAATCATCCTAGAGGGGATAAACCAGCTCAGATCTTACATAAACTCGGTGGTCTATATAATCTTACTATTTTCAAAGCACAAGTGCAGCAAGAAATTAGTGGTGCATAAACTCTTACAATTCTATGAAAAGATCTTCAGAAGCTATGATTTCCCATTTAATCTTGAGACCATTCATTTTGACAACCAAGATGCCAGTTTCAATTTACCTTGAACTAACAATGACAGGGCCGCACCCATAGAAGCATTGGGTCTCAAGACTGCAACAGGCCTCGGATCGGATTCCCCAATTTTAGGAACCCATGTACCTAAAGGAATTGAACAAATTGGCTGTTGCAAAATGGGCAAAGTACTAGCAGAATGCCTAAAGTGCCTGCATATACCTGCAAACAAACATCAAGAATCATTAATCACAAAAGGCATGCTTGTTCACAAACATACATATTATATGTGATGGAGAGAAGAAACGTACATTTAAGTATTCCCGACAGGGAAGCTAGATGTAATAGCTGTGGAAATGAACCATCTTGAGACGAAGAATGGATGATTGGAACTGTTGATACATTACCCGACAAGATTTTGTGAGAAATGTCTTTCAACGAATCATAAGGCCCAGCCTACAAAACAGTCAGCATGTATCAGTACAAGTAGAATGCTCAACTGCGTGGCAGAGGATCTCACAAGACTTCATAGCCAAAACACTTACATGGATCAGATGCCTAGGATCTGATCTTCCATTGCCATCGATTTGTCTTCTGAGGTGCAACTTGCCTTCCTTCCAAGCTGAGATCGTATGAGTTTCCAACTCCTCCTCTGTCAAATTTGATCCTCGATTTCCAAGCTGGAATTCACCATAAAATTGACTGACAAGTCAGCCTCTACTTTCAAAACACACCTTCACAAGTTCTAGTCTGATATTTCAGATGAGAGAAATACTCTAGCAAGATGACGAGTTTCCAAATTGCAGAATTTATTAGTTATAATTGGTTTGGGATACTTTGCTGACTTTCCTTATTCACCAACTACATAGATAGAACTAGCAATATAAACAGTTCCACCACACAAGGGAGAAATAATCAAACAAACGGAGGAATCAAGATCAAGAAAGGACATCAGAAGTGTACACAATAGACAGCACTAACTCACCTCTCTGAGAATCAGGATAAAATCCATCGCGCTGAGAACACCAACAAACTGGCCCTTCGAGAAATCCCAAAGAGGAGCCACAGGAACACCCTGGAATTAATCCAAGTGGAAAAGGATGAATGCTTAGCCAGGGCATTAAACCGCAAAATGACCGAAAAGACAAAGGCACAGGACATAACCAAAGTATGAAGTAACTATGAAGTGAAATATGAGCTCGTCCTTTTGCCTAGATGTTAAATATTGCATGTAGGCTAGTCTGTCTACATAGACAAGTACTCACCTGTTCGTGGAGAATATGGAATGCTTGCTTTACTGGTAGTTTAACATCCAATGCAATAACCTAGAAGACAAATTATAAGCATAAGGATAATCTCAAAACAGAAACAGCTGACTACAAGTATGTGATCAAAGAAAAATAAAGAGCTCCAGAAGACAGTATGGCAGCCAAACCTTGCCTGACTCAGGGAGCAACTCATATGCAGTATGTGTCGACAAGAAGGCAGAAACCCTATGACGAGAGACTTCCAAATCAGCATCTGATATGCCTCGGGTAACATCCTGAGAAGGATCACCAACAATATCACCCAAGTTAGTTTTTGACCTATTGCTTCCCATCTAATAAACCTCACCTTTCATTAATGAGGCTCAAACAAGGAAACTCTTATAGAATAGCTAATTACAGTCATATAATGGAAGCTAGAAACTAAAAAAAAAACATACAAAGAGCACCACAAATACGTGAGAACATATCAGATTCAATAAACTCCCTTACCGAATGAACAAAGACATCATCCAGGTCCATGCTAGATCTCCCAGGCCCAGTAGGACTAAAAGTTGCAGGGATTACATCTGCCTCCCTAGGTAAGAAAACTGTATTCGACACTCCATAATTACCACTTACAAAAGGCTGGTGCTCATCATACCGCCACTCTCCATCGACAATAAATTTATACTGCATATAAAGGTCAAAAAGAGAGAAGGTAGGTAAGAACAGTGGACACTAGATCATGGATCCTTTAAGAAATGACATAATCTACAAATTCAATGAAAACCAATGTTCACAAGGTTATAGTGCTTTGGTAAAGCTTCCAGACAACCTCTTCGCAAGATAAAGCTCTTTTCATAGTTCTAATGCATTGGTTTCTGTATAATAAACCAACACTGTCATCACAAATAAGTCCCACTTTCCTTTTTCACATCACCAATGACGAATGTTTGCCCATGACTTTTGCATAAACTTAAAGCACCTGATAATTACTACTTAGTGCAAAACACAAACAGGGAACATTGACTAAAAATCAAGACTTGCTTACAAAAAAAAGATCCATTCACAAAGGGGGTAGTGATAATATATATAGTAAGACGATGCTCCTGTTTCCATTCTTATGATAATCGACAGCAAATGTGAAACTGGAATCAACAAAATGACTGCAGGAAGCCAGAGTCCAATCATAATTTAAAGGTTAAGGACGACAGAAATGAAAAACCGTTGAAGAAAAAACAGTTAACCTGGTGATATCCAGGCGTCAAACTACAAATAACTTGAAATACAGTAGGACAACCCTCCATCGGGGACATGGGAATGTGGTCAATCCACCTGCGGAGATAAGAAACGCATTCAGACCCGAAATGATTATTCATCGTCATAGAACCGATTATCAATCATTATAAGAACCATAGCAACTTTGACATATGCACTAGCAAACCAACCTAGTGAAAGAGCCACATAGAAACACACTCCTCCCTCCATAAGGCCAAACAAACCGCATAGGCACTACTCCCGCACTCTCATGGCCGGTATCTGTACCGGAAGCAAACATTTCCACTATCCAATGCAGGCCAAGTAGCACAAATTCTCGGAATCCTCAAGCTCTACAGTATATCCAATTCAACAATCTCCCTAACGACAATAATTGGCTAGAGAGGAGACAGCAGGGATCCTCTACAGTTGAGCAGAGGACCCCTCTTTATGGCTTGTACATGCAGAGTCACCAAATAGAAATCAAACCGCTCCAAACCCTTCTTTCGAGTGGTGTCAAACCCCAAAGCTCATTATCAACCTTCAGCAGGCAAAGGAGGGGGGACAAAAAGCTCCGAACTTTAACCACCAAAATTCCAGCAATTCGTCACATGCAGCGCCGACAAAAAAATTCCAAATCCCAACAATCTGAGTTCCCGTAGATCAACAATTCCGTACGAGAGAGTCGAGGAAATCATACACCCACCACGGAAAGAACTTGAACAATCCAAAAAGCCCAAATTCAGAAGAACCAACTGCCAAAATGAAGCTCTGATCTGGGGCGAAGGAAAGGAAGCTCGGGGGCTGAATCGGGTCGGGGAAACAGCCAACCCATATAGGGAATTCGAGTCGGGATTGGAGAGTGAGCTTGTGTTCCGTGAAATTTGTGGAGAGTGATGGGAAACGATGGGGATTGAAAGAGAGAGGAAAACCCTAATTTGCCGAATTGAAGAGGAAAACCGGACAATGTTGGATCTGGGGAAAAGGGTTGTAGGGAGGAAATGGTTTTTGTGGTTAATCTTGGGAGTGAAGAGAATCTGAGGAATGAATGAAGAACAGAGACGGAAAAAGAGAGAGGAAGGAAAGCCTAAAATCAATTCGTGTATATATATTTTTTATAAGAAGGAAAATGCCGGACGAGAAGTGCAGGCAGGCAAGCAGCAGCAAGCAAGTGTATCAGCGACAGCGGTAAAATCCACGAACGTCAAATGCCAATGGCTGACTGACTACTTGGTGGCTTTTTAAGAAAGGGCAAAATGGAAAAGGAAAGAAAGGGAAATCCGTAATTTTGATGTGATTAACGGGAGCAAAGTTTTATATTGCGAATTGCGAGTTTAGCAAGTGATATGATTTGAACGGTAATACAATTAATTTATGTATGTTGATAGTGGTTTAAGTGTATACAAAGTATATTTCAATTTCAAGACAATTTAATTATAATTTATATTCATATTTAAATAAAATATAATATTTCAAACAAAATAACAAATACACGTATTTAAATACAATGTTCAAAGTTAAGATCCAAATATTCATACTTTAATCTAACAAATAACATCAACCTTTAACTTTTAAATTCATGAAGTAAATCATAAATTAATGTTTTGTTAATTAAATTCACTAAGATGTCAATTTATTTAGAGGTTGAAAATCGATCATGTCGATCATACCAGTGATATTCTAGTCGATTTCATGAGAGACACGGGTTGTACAATGTTCAATCGACCTACATTCCACTGACGTGACTACCAGTCTACCATGAATATGAGTAATTTGATAAGCCCACGTTTAGTACACTTTTGTTGATGTTGTGGTTGCAGTACTGTTGATTATTCTGACAATAGAGGTACAATAACACCATAAAAATAAAAACTCATTTAGTTGGTAATTCTGAAAAATCATGAAAGTTGACAATTTTCTGTGTTTTAGGGTTCGTTTGGTATATGCGTATCTAAACGATGCATTTAATAAATGCATCATTTTTTGTTTCAAAATAAAATATAATGCATGCATTTGGTTGATGATGTGACAATTGAAATCATTCAATATGAATGATTTACAATCTCAACTATTTGGTGATATTGTTGAGATTGTGTTTTGAGATTGTTCTTCCATGTTTCTTTCCCTTTATATCGCTATCAACCTTTATGCATTGTTACTCTTGTATGTAAAAGAAAGGGTAAACATGACATTTCACTTAAAAAGTGATTTTCTCATTTTACTTCGAAAATTACAATCACAACTACCAAACAATGTAATCTTAAAATACATGTATTTAGACAATACATCAATTTGACAATGCAAGTATTCATACAATACATCAATTTGAACAATCCCAAATACTAAACGATCTTAGTTACTTCATTAGACCCTATTTAGTATCAATGTTGAGACTAATACAAAAGTAAGTAAATAACGAGAGAAATAGTGTTGCATGACGAGTTATGAGAAAATTGAAGGAGAAAAGGTCATACCATCTCCAATAAGTGAGAGATAGAGTGCTAGAATTTTAGATTTTAAGATTTGGTTTGGCACTTTCACCTCTAAAAGTGAGGTTTGCTCTGGTAAGTAAGTAGTGCCAAAGTGTCAAACTTTATCTTTCGTGACTATATAGTTTAGTGTAGATTTCATAGTTTAATTAGACAATTTGTAGATTATTTTTATATAGATAATAATAATTAACTAAGACGAACATTTCAGTGTAACTTATAAAAATTGGACATAAAACAATTTGTCGTTAAATATGACATCATCAATGGCGGAAACACAATATTTGGTTCAAATAACAATAGATTAATCACAAGTTTGTCAGATTGAGTTGTGTCATCAACTGTACATATACTTTTATGTGTTTTGTTGATATATTCTCATGTTTTATTGATGTATCCCCATGTTTATGTATTTGATGTGTTCTAAATAAAATGGTAGTTGCATTTACTAATTGAAGAATTACAATTGAAATAAATCGTACATGAACAACAAACCCCTTAAAATAAAACAAGTACACTTAAATTGTTACATGTTGGGACCATAATAAGAGTCATCATTTGGAGCAACTTTATACTCAAGGTAAAATCTCATCCTTTTGTCTTTGGTACCAAACTTTAGTTCAAAGACTGCATTGAGAAAGATCAGGGTGTGACTGCTACTCTTATTTGTTTTAATTATTTAATGGTTATGTATATGTTTGTTGTGGGTGTTTTTCAGCTAACAAAACTCATTATTTTGCAACTTTCGTCAGCTCGATTACTATTTGAAGGCCATATTTTGAATTTGATTAGCAAAATTCACTTAAAGTGTAAGAAAATGCATTTCAACACTCAAACATGATAAATCTCTTAAATCTTTCTTGAGCTTTCAATATTTATCGCCAACACAAACTGATGCATTTCGAGCCAAGTATTGACCAAAGAAAATGGCATGCTAGTAAAGTAAAAGAATGAGGGGATTCGCTCTCCCCTCTCTCCATGAATTTTTGCGAACAATTCTGGCGAGGCTCTTCGTTGGGTTCTCTATGGAAGATACCAGGAAGAACATGGCGTCTTGTAGATGGCCGGGAAATCAAGCAAAATCACCTTTTATCGATTAGAAGAAATGTAGTGGTCCAGGATCTCGCTTCTGAGATGATGGATTGGATTCAGACTCTGCAAAGCGGAGCGGCAAGGCCGAAAATCGATTTCTGGAATTATTAAACGAAAAAGGAGGATATTGGGGATATACCCATATCCGAAATTGGGATACACTTGCAAAATATCAGCAAGAGATAACCCTTGGAGAAGAGTCATGCGCCCAGACAGTTCTCATACTCGCTCCACAGTGGGTGTATTTAACCTCCGACTCCCAATTTTGGAAATGCACTCACAACGCTAAGTTCTGTGAAAGGGTAGAGACGGAGAAGTATAACCAAACCTTGACTAGACATTTTACAATGTTATATAGTATTGGTGCTATAGATTTTTGTTTTTATGGTACAACTTAAAATTGTACATTTACGTTATGGTACAACTTCAGATTGTACCTATACTTTTTGTACAAATTCTTTTATGGTACATGTAACACCCAACTGCTTTTAAAACCCATAAAAATGTATGCACATCGTCAACTATTTACCAAAATCCTCAAACTCTTGGGGTTTTTTTTTTTCCTGGGAAAAACCCATTTTCAAATTTCCCGTAGAAAACATTGTGGAGAGTTCAGCCTTCCGCCCACCTCATTGATGTCAAACTCTAACTTGCTTCATCCCATGGCCTTCACCCATTTTAGCTATTCATCTGGGAAAAATATTGACGCGGTGAGACGTCACTCAATGAGTAAATAATAACATAATATAAATATTAATACGAAAATGATATCAAGCTATGTTGTGGCTCGGAGTGTCTTCTGTCCATTATACTCGATGTATATCTAATCACTTAATAACTTTACTTAAGTCTCACCTATGTAGATTCATACGAGATTTCTTCCATCGTTCACTTGACCTATCACATATACGTTATGGGTCATTCCTATATGTAATATATCCTTCGTTTAAGATTTCTCCTTTACTTTACCCTACCTGGTGTTGCATATGGTTTGTATTTATTCTTATATCCCATACGAAATTTTCCTTCACATTTTACACTTCTATCAACACGTACAACATCAAGGGATGTACTATATACTCATAACATTATACACGTCGATATCTCATGGCACTACCATAATGAAATTAGTATATCATTACTACTTATGTCACAGTTTCCTGATCAATCGTTGTACTACTCATCATAGGAGATCATCATAAAATGTACCTCATATCACTTGATATGACATATAAAACACATCAACCTTCACATACCACATGTAAGGGTTCACATTCTATACCTCAAATATGGCAAATACTAAGATTTCCATCTCAATCCTATATCACACAAAGATGGCAAATATCAAGCTTGTTATTCACATACTCATGTTGCACCCAAAATCAACAATGAATCAGCATCCAATCACACACATACATATAGTTAGCTGGATTCAGTAGCTTTTATTCTTTAATTTGCCAAGTCATGCACTCCCCGGGATCTCGTGAACTCGTAATCTCGTAGGCACGAAGTGCCAAATCTCATATACTCGTGAACTCGTGGGCACAAAATGCCATATCTCGTGAACTCGTAAACTCGTGGGGCACAAAGTGCCATATCTCGTAAACTCTTAAACTCATAGGGCACAGGGTGCCATATCTCATAAACTCGTAGCCAGGCCTGGCATTACTCCTTAAAAGGAGTTCTCGTGCTCTTTTATCTCTTAGGCTTGAAGCCTCTTTTCACTTATAATGAGTGCATGACAGGGCGCCATTACATTTGCTTTAGGTGACCATACAATTCTTATAGTTAGTCACAACTAAACATAATACTTGTGTGACCCAAGGGCCATTTCATATCACATTCACTTGCATGACTCATAGGCCCTTTTATCTCATCTCGTATAATTGACAAAAGGCAACTTTTCTTGCCATTCTTTTCACTTGACCGCCTCAAATGACATTTCACATATCATATACTCATCACATAATATCATTTAGCACACACATAACAACATGTATTATGACCTTCTCGTCATACCATCATACGATCATTTCCTCATATCGTCGCATTATCATACAATTACCACTATATGGTAACATCATCCAATTATAGGATCATTCAATCATTTCATCATCATTCAATCATATAACCATGCCACATAGCAACCTTCAATCACTATCGATTTAAATCTTACCAAGCTATCATATACCTCGTACTCGGGTCGCTTCATGACCGAATACCATAATCATATTAAGATAAACATTAGGTTAGAATTTACTCACTGTACGATTGTTATTCAGCTATGCCCTTTCATTGAGAAGATTCCCAGCTTGTTCTTTTCCTTCGAACAAAGTCATGCAGATTCATTTGCGGGAAGATCTGATCTCCGAAGGATTCCTCTCCCCCGACTCCAAGTCCCTCTGCCTCGAGACACCGCTGGGCCAGGACGTCTTCGCTCTCAAAGAGATTGGCGTTTCCGATGCCGTCGGAATTTACAAGAAGGCGTCCAAGCCGCTGGTGATTGCCGCAAAGTTGAACCGCATTCCGT